TAAACTGACCAGAGAACACACCATTAGAGATGGTATAGTGTACTCAGTCAAGCCACAGGTACGGTCCTCACTATCTTCTAGTAGAGAATGTGTGGGTTAGTTTCTACTACTGGCTCCATCCACAGGAGCAAATGTTTATAAACAATGTCTACCAGTCCAATCCCTTATGTAAAGGTTTAGACAGGGAGAGAGTCACAATGATAGATTATATGATGTGTGTGTGTGTGTGTGCATTGGTCAATATGTGAAGTAATGGCTGCTTCCTTTAGTAAGAGATAATGAGAGGATAATAAGGTAGCAGCTGGTATAAATAAAACTTCCCTCTCAATCTCTATTCGTACAGATGACATTCACTAATACTACAATACAGTGACTTGGTATAATTGCACTTTCATAAGACACATATATAGACATATCTGCCCACATAAAAAGAAATAGAGAGAGGGACAAAAAGAGAGAGAGAGAAAGAAAGAGAACAAAAGGTACAGGCTAGACACAAAACATGTACGTGTATTATACAGGCAAAGATACATGTACATGTGTGAAAGGAAGCATTAGATACATGTACATTAATATAGAAACATCACTAGTACTCTCTCTTAAATCTTTCTCACACCTCCAGCTGCAATACTACATGTACATTTCTAGCTTTCTCACACTTGGAGCTGTAGCTCTGTACATTTCTCTCATAATGTGATATTAGAATAAAGAAAAGATTAAAAAGAATAAAATTCCCACTTATCAAGATGTGAGACTGCTATCAGACCAGAGGAGGACCAAGAAAGAGGTAGTTGGTTTAGACATGTTATCTTGATCTAGCTAGCTCCAGTCAAAGAGGAGGAGGCAATGACCTCTTTACCAGCTCAAATTCAAACACACACAGAGAGCTAGTGCTTGAATGTGAATTAGGGGTGGCTGAAGATGAGAAATGACTTTAAAAGACTTTCAGAGAAATACATGTACATGTATATGCACATACATGTACAAATACACACACATATAAAGGACATGACATGCAGCCACACAACAAACAGGGTTTCATCATTTTATAATGATACAGGAATACTTGTATATCCTATGCAATTACATGTATGTAAGACAGGTCAGTTTTAAAAAGGGAGAGTGAGAAGCAGCTGCTAGGTACATGTATGTACATGTGCATGTATATAGTTAGTGAAGGGTTTCATTCACGTGTCATGAGGTACGTGTACTGTATGATGGAGTATGACAGAGCATGTGGGGATAAACACGTAAATATGGAGGGGAAGTAAACAGAGGGACACCTGCTGTTTTATAATTACACAGTATCTAATAGTAGCTAGCAAAAGGAAGAGTTGGTTTCAAATTCATACGTGCCACCTGCTACCATATTATGCTCTCATTATCTATCTCTTACTAAAGGAAGCAGCCATTACTTCACATATTGACCAATGCACACACACACACATACCATCATATAATCTATCATTGTGACTCTCTCCCTGTCTAAACCTTTACATAAGGGATTGGACTGGTAGACATTGTTTATAAACATTTGCTCCTGTGGATGGAGCCAGTAGTAGAAACTAACCCACACATTCTCTACTAGAAGATAGTGAGGACCGTACCTGTGGCTTGACTGAGTACACTATACCATCTCTAATGGTGTGTTCTCTGGTCAGTTTAGGTCCTCCCTAGCAATGCTAAAGAGAGAGAGGAGGGCTAGTTGACACAATTGTGTATGGTCCCTCTCTACTTGTCTATAGTGTGTAGTGGAGAAGGGGTGGGAGAGTATAGCTAAGGATTTAAAAACAGTAAAGAGAGGCTGTATAAGAATAGGAGGTACAAGAGGAGCTTAGTAAGAGTCAGTTGATTTAAACTGTTATCTACAGTTGGCTCCAGCCACAAGGAGGAGGCTCATGATACTAGTACTAATAACTGGCCCATGGCTCAAATTCAAACTTATCACAAAGAGAGGGAGAGCTAGGAGAGAGTGTAGAAGAGGGGAGATTAATTTAAAAAGACAGAACTAGCACACATGTACATGTACTATAATGTAATAAGAACATGCAAAGGAAAGAGAAAGAGAAAAGAGAGAGAGAGGGCAACTTCCATTCACTAACTATGCATACTAAAAACCTATGCATACATGTACATGTACAATGTATATGTCTGTGGATATACATGTACATACATGCTCAGTGCAATAGCTCAAGTTTTATAATACATATACTAACCTGTAAATATCTTCTCTTTTCCAATTGTATATGCCCCACAAACTATCAGAGTATCAGGATCTTTTACCATCCTCTCCAAGACAATATTGACAACAAACGAAATAACATCATCTTGAGGGGGAAAATCATACCTGGCGCTACAATAGCTGGAAGAAAGAGAGAGAGAGAGGGGAGGAGATTGTTTGTTTTAAATAGTTCTTTAGTTACGTTGTGTCAAGGAAGAGTGTGTCGATCGGTGTGGTCAGGAAGAAATTATGATCAATCATTGAGTGACTTAGTCTGAAATCACCTGGAGAGAAAGAAATAAAATGAATTAGGTAGCAAGTGAGAAAGTATATTAAGTAACAGTACAGTATGCAATACAAGCAAGTATTTTGAAATTTTGAAAGAGTTCAATTGACTGTATACATATAAATTTTGACTTTTGCGTATAAATTGACCTCAAAATTCCCTAAAAATAACCTGCTGAACATATTATGTGCAAGTACCTGTGTGAAGTATGACTTTACCACTCGGCAATTTGAACAGTAACAAAACTGATCCAGGACAGCTACAGAATAAAAACATACACTTAAAACCCAAACAGATAAAGAACTGTATTACATCATTCATTCATCAATGTGGATATACACGTGTGCAATATATGCAGGATAAACATGATGCAACCAAATGTTTACAGGAACATACTGGTTGGCATCCAATAGTGTCACCTGGACTCCGTTGATCAGCTTCTCTTCCTTCAGAGGGAGAGGATGAACAATGTCTGACTTAACCTTTAGCTCCTGGATAATAAGGTTACCAGTGACCTAATCCACACACACACACAGACACAGGTGAGTAACCATTAGATCATAGTGACAAAGTACCCAATCAATAATGAGAGATACCACAATAAGGAGCATGTTTGTGTATGTGAGGACTGAATGTGTACATGTACTTTTATGGAGGGAGGGAAAGAAAAAGAGAGAGAGAGAGAGAGAGGAGAGACAAAGGGAGGAAAAGAGGGTGGAAGGAGATATGAGAAGAAAACCACAAGCTCAAAGATAAAAATATAAAAATTCAATATGCCTTCACCTTAACACACACACACACACACACACAATACATTTAGTTCATGTACATTCACGTACCTTTGAGCAGTATATGTCATGTGCAAACCGACTGTTAAGACCAGCATAGTGATCAGAATGAAAGTGTGTTAAAAAGTAACTGGTACAACCATTGATGCTACCATAAGAAAAAGCATCGACCGTAATACTTGTATCTAGATAAGGAACAGAGTTGTTGTTAATTTCAATTTAGAGCCGTTCATAAAAGCAAGAGTTAATAAAAGGGTATGTACATGTACATGTACATCGGCTTACCAGGGATCCACTTATGTTCCAAGTGTTTACCAGCGTGCTCTGTAGTCGATGGCTTAACAAAATGTTCTCTCTTTACGCGTCTTTTAGGCACTGAACCAATGGTAGGCCGTGTCAATAATGGAGTAAATTTTGAAGTCGAGTTGCGTTCATTTTTAATTTGTTTAGAACGATTGATAGTCTCGGCGTTAAGAGTCTTTAGCCTTTTGGGTATTTGAAAAAATGTGTCTAATTTCATTTGGGTGTGGTCGAGTAGAGTGTCTTTTTTCTTTCTTAGCGGCTGATTTTTTGGTGTCGATTTGGCCGGAGAACGTAATAAGGAGAGTACAGTACTGTGGGAGGAAGGAGAGACTAGACTGTAATTTGAGACAATTGGGGAGACTGCGAGCGGACGGAGAGAAGGCAAGCTAGAATTTGATTTCTGGTCTCTCTCTTCATCACCGCTATCACTTAGAATAATCACAGGATTTGAGGAATTTGAACCTAAATCGTAGCTTTTGGATGAGTCACAGACCTCGTAGACTACACTGCAAAGTCTTGAGCTTTTATCTTCATTCCCACTCTCATTAAGAGATCTTTTTCGCTTTCTAGACAAAGAGAGTCTCTTCTTTGTCTCACCCATTGCTTCACTCTGAGACGCCATTTTTCCTTATTCTCACCACGTGGGTGATAACCTTTAATAACTGGGTACATTAATATGGCGCGTACCATGGCAACATAGCAACTAAGGAAAAGCGCGGCAAATGAAATTCTATAAAAGCAGCCGTGGTGTCTTTTCTCCAGACCAGACCATCGTCTTCTTCTTTACTTTAGCATAGTTGATTCTCCTCTGTCTTACCACCAGATATTCAAATGATGACCTGCGCAGTAGATAGCAGCAGTGGTAGCTATCCACATCCTCAGCCAACGTACCACATTCCATACTATTACCAAGCTCACCATCATCCTGGGCAGCATCAAGAGGAGGTAGTTCTGCTGGAGGACAACTGGCTACAGACAGAGGTGTATCATGATTTTGTCCTGCCAGCAGCAGCAGTAGCCGGGGGCAGTTGCTGCAGCTCTGGTTGTTGCAGCAGTACCACAAGCCTCACCCCAACCGACCCAACAGCTCTTTTATACCGACCGCAAAACAAACTCTCATCTTTAGGAGCAGGAACCAAAGCTAACTCCACTGGTCCTAAAGCCCCACCGTGGTGGGAGTCTGAGCTCTCACAGCCTATACACGAGACCCTAAAGAAGAGAGAGGCTGCCATTAGCTCGATCCAGTTCAAATCTCCTCAGCTCCATCTTCGTCGTGAACTAGTTGAGTTCATTACAGCTGTCAGCAAGGATCTTGGGCTCTCTGATGGGACTCGCTTCCTAGCCATAAGGCTAGCAGATCAGTTCATGGACGGGCACAATGTAATGGAGTACAGGCTGAGACTAATGGGGCTCACTTGCCTTCTATTAGCAGGTGAGAAATAGGAAGCCATGTTTAGCACTCTTGTGTAATTTAAGTACTTTATCTCCTTAAGCTCTGCAGCCATGCATGACCAAAAAAAGCAAATACTTTTCCCCATTTTGATTTTAAAATAGTTGGAAAATGGTTTTGTGGTTGTAATGTGATACCCTCAAGATTATAAAGGTCACTTTGTTCTCTCTCTTTCTCTCTCTCTCCATCTCTTTCTTTTCCTTCTTATGTAGCTAAAAGTGAAGAAATCGATGACAATGTCCCCAGCATTGAAATGCTTCAGCACGCAGCTAGAATGAACGACAGCAGCAACACGAGTGCCTACTCGAGACAAGAGTTCCACACACTTGAGCTGTACATACTCAAATACTTCAAGTGGTGTCTCTCTCATCCGTCAGTTGCTCATTTCATCGATTATTATCTACACACAAGCCTAAAGGGGGACGAGAATCTGCCAGGACTGAGCAAATGGGAAGCCATCATGCTAGAGAATCAGATGAAAGAGTTCACAGCATATTTCATGGAAGTCACATTAAGAGGTATAAAAGCTAATTCTCTTTCTCGGCACTTCCTTATAAATTGTAAGGATGCAGCTGGAATCCTTCCAGCTGCTTCTTGTAAATGGCTTGTGTATTTCAAAACTTACATTGTACTCCACTAATGCTATCATATTTACACCTCATGACTACTCTTTCTTTCTCTCTCTCTCTCCTTTTCTCTACTATAGAAAGCAAGCTCCTATATTATAAGCCATCCAGAATCGCTGCAGCTATTGTCTGTGTTGCTAGGATATGCACTGGAATGAGTACAGTCTGGAACGAGTCATTAGAAAAAGCTAGCAAGTACTCACTCGACGACTTACAACCTGTTGCCAGCCTCATACTTAGGTGAGACCTTACCCATGCCTTGAGCATGAGAATTCGAAGGGGGCGACGCATGCATGTACTTGTAGTTGATGGGGTGAGTGTGCATGATATAATGTACAGGTGGATCATAGTATAACGTGTCTGTAGTATTAGCAGGACATGAATAGTCATGACGCTAGCAAGGGGCCAGGCCTCCTTTACTCATGAAGGTCATGTTACTGTATTACGTTATTATAATATTATACGTGGACACCTGTTATGCTTCCTTTGCATGCACAGGCCAGCCATTGATATGTTAAAGAGTTGGGGATAGTTTGGTTGTCTGTCTCATCATATTCACCTTTTCTTACTGATTGCAATTTGCCAGCATATTAAAAATTGTTATTCTTTCATTGTGCAGTTTAAATGAGCAGAACTGAAGACTAGGCAATAGTTAGGAGTCTCTATAATTGAACACACAGTCACTATTACTACTTCAAAGCTAAAAGTGGAACTGTCTCATATATTATATTTATTTCCTAATTTATGTTATCATTTTTTGTTTCTTTTATTTTATTTGTGCACGCAAGCGACTGACAAAACACCAAGTTAATCTGTTATATCACTTATCATCCTCCACTACTTTAATAACACACTTCACTCATACGATACTAAAGTTTCCATATAATTATTATGTTGTCGTTTTTATTTGTTGCAATGTTCTTCTTGTTGTCGTTTTTGTTATACTTTATTAAACAAAAAAAAAGGAAAATAGCACAATGGGCGAACAAAAAAGAACACAATTATAGAAACAAGGTTTCTCAATCAAATAAACACTAATAATAATAATGATAATTGTGATTTTAATAACGTTAATTAATTTATTTTCTATAAGTGCTAAACTGAGTACCACCCCCAGCACTAAATCCAGTCCCACCTGTAAATCCCATACTACCACCACTGGATAGTCCGCCTCCAGAGAATAAATTGTTACTTCCAGGAAATGAGCTGTTTCCACCACCCAAAGCATTGCCTTGACTGCTATCACTTTGAGCTAGTGATCCAAATGTAGGCGTATTGTTGGACCTAAAATAAAAGTACATTATTTATAATAATCAAATAATATTCAAAACAGGCATAATATGTACATGTACATGTACATGTGTTTAATAAGATAATGTACTCACTGAGTGCCACTGAACAATCCTCCCATACCACTGGTAAGACTAGGGATTAAGATACACTGTAATTATATCACTTTACAAAATGTTTGATTACCTGCTCATGTTCATTAATCCACCTCCTCCTCCTCCTCCCATACCTCCTCCTCCCATTCCTATTCCTCCACCTAAAAACGCTGGAGCACTGCCAAACTGAGGAATGCTACTGCTTTGTAAAGAAGCTACACACAACAAAAAACAACAAACAAATAGTTAAAAGCTAAAAACATTACTTTCTTTAGAAAAAATTCTTAAATTATGCATTTCTGGTGATACTCACAATTTCCAAGTAACCCAGTGCTTCCTCCTCCTCCTAGAGTTCTCCCAGGACCCAAACCACTCATGCCTCCTCCTCCACCACTAAGCAATCCAGGTGGACCAGAACCACCACCTGTTGGTGATTGAACTATTATTGATAGAAAGAGACAAAGAGAAAGAGAGAGAGAGGGGGGAGGGGAGGGGGAGGGAGGGATCATAGTGCAGAGCTAAAGAATGTTTTATGAAAATGAAATTACACTTTGGTGCTTGCAGTAGTGATGCTCTTGGGGTACTCCCTAAGCCTTGCTGATATGAAATTAATAATAATAATTATCATTGACAATTTCTTTCTCTTACTTGAGGGGCAGAGAAAGATGCTTGAGCAAGTGACAACAAACTGGCACCATTTCTGTTAGATGTATCATCTAAAAATATAACCAGAAAATATTATTATTATTATTTTTAAAAGCAAAAAGTATGAATGAAAGTATTAAATATGACAAAACATCTACTTCTGTACACAATAACTCAAAAATTTCTAATCGGAATCGACTCAAACTTTCTATATAGCATAAGTGCATCAATATGTATCAAAAAATGTAATAAAAATTTGGGATGATTTCAGAGCCATTTTTTTAGAAAAAACCATGGGCTATAGCCTTGGGTATTTTTTAGGATTTTGGCGGTTTCTTAAATGGCCGTAACTTGAAAAATTGAAGTCGGAATCAGCTCAAACTTGCTACACAGCATAAGTACATCAATATGTACCAGAAAATGTAATAAAAATTGGAGGCAATTTCAGAGCCATTTTTTGGAAAAAACCATGGGCTATAATAGCCTTGGGTATTTTTCAAAAAAGGGTTGGTTTTTAAAAATGACCATAACTTGAAAATTTTTTATCGGAATCAACTCAAACTTTCTACACAGCATAAGTACATCAATATGTATCAGAAAATGTAATAAAAATGGGGGGTGATTTTGGAGCCATTTTTTGGAAAAAACCATGGACTATATAGCCTTGGGTATTATTCAAAAAAGGACCGGTTTTTTAAAATGACCATAACTCGAAATTTTTTTATCGGAATCACCTTAAATTTTCTACATAGCATAAGGACATCAATATGTATCAGAAAATGCAATAAAAATGGGGGGCAATTTCGGAGCCATTTTTGGAAAAAATTATGGGTTAAATTCTGATTAAAAATTTGAATCAGAATGTGCTACATAGCATAAGTACATCAAATACTAATAACTTTTTATTAATCAATTCCTGTAGGATACCTCCCTGTCTGGAAGTGGTCAAGGCCATAGCCCAAGACCACTACCCATAACCACTTCCAGACAGGGATGTACCGTATACTGAGATATTTTCGTATGTAGCTAAATTTTCACAAATTTTGCATTTGTAAAATTTCCCAAAATAATATTTTCTCAAATAGCTTGTAAATTCCACCACATGGCAATGAAAATTCAGAAATTCACGATTTTTATTTTCATGACGGAGTAAAAATCTGTGGAAATATGGCTACTCAAAAATTTCCCAGTATACAGTATCTGACTTATAGCGGTATTGTTCTTATGTAAACTGTGAAATTCCACACTATCTCCAGGGTGCATGGTTATGGGCATATAACTCCTGCTAAATATCAAAGGTTTCCATGGTAACTACCCATGCACCATAATATAAAATTAATTATCTCACCATTGAGCGGGTCTTCATCCATCCCATCTTGATCAGCCTGTAATAATAACAATAATAATAATAATAATAATAATAATAACAATAATAATAATAATAATAATAATGAATTAATTACGTGTACCTCATCATCTGAAGGGCTCTGGATTGGAGTTCCCGATCCACTAGTAGCAACAGCTGCAACAGGCAAAGCAGTAGAATACCCGCCGATGCCTAACTGAGACTGAGTAACAAGACCCCCAGCACTAGAAGTACCAACCAAAGTACCAACAGAACTAGGAGCAGTTGGAGCAGGTCCAATAGTAGCAGGTGGGACAGATAATGGAGTATTAGATGGAGCAGAGCTACCTGAAGTGATTGGACCAGTGGAAGAGGAACTGGTCCCTGGAGTTGATGAAGAGACAACTGAAACAGGTAGAGCATTAGAAGCTGAAATACTAACACCAGCAGCAACAGTAGCAGTAGTAACAGTAGTAGTAATAGTAGGAGGAGCAGTAGTATGAGTTATAGATAGAGGAGTAGAACTAATAACTGCAGAGGAACTAGTAATAGAAACAGGAGTCATAGTAGAACCAGAGGTAGTGGTAGCTTTAGGAATAGAACTAGTAGCAGGAACAGGAATGGAACTAGTAGGAGGAACAGGAATAGAACTAGTAGGAGGAACAGGAATGGAGCTAGTAGAAGGAACAGGAATGGAACTAGTAGGAGGAACAGGAACAGAACTAGTAGGGATAGAGCTAGTAACAGTTTGAGATGTGCTTGTGGAGAGTTGAGCTGGAGAATGAGTAGTAGCAATGGAGAGAGGAGAGGGTCTAGGATAACCAGCAATTGTACTAGGAGGAAGAGATGAACTGCTACTTGATGATATTGTCAAGGAAGGAGGCATTGAAAAAGACTTGGTAATGGAAGGAGGATGTGTGGCAGCTGCTAATGAAGGAGTGGTCCCTCCAGGAACAAATGATGGAGCACCACCCCCAGCTGGTAGAGTAGAACGAGAACCAAAAACAAACGGACCCCCACCACCAGCTGGTGAATTAATAAAGGAAAAAGGGGTTGATCCTTGAACGTTACTAGTACCAAAGCTAAACACTGGTAAATTAATGGCAGGAGTAGTGGTGGTAGGACCAGAGCTTGAAGCTGGTTTAGTGGAAGCTGGAGTGGATCCTGTAACTGATCCAGTGGGAGGTGCTACTGTTGATCCAATAGGCGCTGAGCTAGCTGGCTTGTAAGTAGGCCCAGGATTAGAGAAAGACCGTGATGTAGAACCAATGGATGAATTAGTAACTGAAGTATGAGAAGGAATAGCAGAACTGCTGGAATACAAGGAAGGAGGAGAAGGGCCACTTGAATAGACTGAAGGAGGAGGGCCACTTGAATACATAGGAGGACGGGAACCGCCTGAATACATGTATACTGGAGGAGCAGGACTACTTGAATACATGTAACTTGGAGGACGATGGCCAGTTGAAAGAGGAGGAGCACTAGGAGAAGGACCAGTATGAGTAGTAGGGCCACTTGAATATGAGGGAGGGCTAGCTCCAGCCCCAGTAGTGGTAGGAGGTGCACTGGTAGATACACTGGTGGGTATACTGGTGGGTACACTAGTAGGTACACTGGTAGAAGGTACACTGGTAGAAGGCATACTGGTAGAAGGCATACTGGTAGAAGGCATACTGGTAGATGGCATACTGGTAGATGGCATACTGGTAGAAGGCATACTGGTAGAAGGCATACTGGTAGATGGCATACTGGTAGATGGCATACTGGTAGAAGGCATACTGGTAGATGGTATACTGGTAGATGGCATACTGGTAGATGGTACACTGGTAGAAGGCATACTAGTAGATGGTACACTGGTAGATGGTACACTGGTAGGTACATCAATGGTCTGTGTACTGGCATGAGATACCCTGACAGGCTGTACATTGGTAGATGGTTTCATCCTATACACTGGCGAATGGAGAGGTCTTGCAGCAGGTAAAGGTATATTAACCTTTCTCTCATTGACTTTAATCCCATCAGCAGTCAATGTGGCTGATATACTGGACCTATCACTGGATACACTACTGCGACCACTCCTCCCTCCTCCCCCCCTGGCACTCCTCCTTATTGTGCTGCTCTGACGTGAGTTACGCCCACTGGTCAATCCACCGTCACTTTCATCCAGTTCCAGCTGGGGGGGTGCGGTTGGAGCAGGAGGAGGAGGAGGAGAAGGAGAAGGAGAAGGAGAGGGAGAAGGAGTAGTAGACCCATCACTTGATTCACCATCGTCAACTTCACTTTGAGTTTCTAACATGAAACTTCCCCTTGGTCTTGGGACGCAGGCTAAAAATAGTAACAGGTAAGACATCCGTCAAGAATACATGCAAATACAACCCACCTGGTTTACGGACTGGTGTGAGAGCCAGTGACTTTAGTTGAGTGCTAAGAGCTTTCATCCTTTGAGCATCGGAAGGACTTGACTTTCTTTTCCTAGCACTAGAGAACAAGAGCCGAGGATCAGGAGTACCAGGACCACTCGGATGAACTTGTGATACTGATGATGAATCATCTCCCCCTACTAATAATGAATACAATAAATAGATAAAATAAAATAAAATAATAAATTAATAGATAGAAAGTCATACAGGAAGATAATAAATCCATTGTGCATTTTAATAATAATAATAGTTTTTCAAAATGGCTGACCAGGAGGAGGAGGTGTTGCTGGAATATAAACAGGCCTCCATGACTGCGGTAGGAGCTTCAATCTCTTCAAATCAGTCGTCAGCCTACCTAGAGAGTCTTTCTGCATATTTTATGTAAATAAAAGCAACAGAACATAAATATAGAAAATAAATACAATTAAACAATCAATTACATGTTGCTTTATGATTTGTTTGTGGCTTCGTAAAACTGAGTAATAATTCTGTACACTTGGTGATCTCATTGGGCTCCTAACACAACAGGAGAGGTAAGAGGAGGATATTAAAAGCAATGACTGTACAGTTAATATCATATCTACACACCTTCCTCTGAGTCTGTGTGAGTTCTGTCTCCTCTCAAGCTCATTATCAAGGTGACCATTGACCTCCCTATGGAATAATAGGAGGAGGAAAGAGAATAATTAATAATGACACATACAATCATGATCATAACAATACATGATATGTATATGTACATGTACATGTACATGTACATCATCATTACCATTACATACATGTACATGTACATTTATATGCACTCACTCACCTCAACTGCTGGTCCAAGAAAGCATGTGTGCTTATTAATTTGTCCATTCGCTTAGAAAGAAGAGGATCCAATGGCTGAGACTATTAGTGAGAGAGAGAGAGGGAGAGAGAAAGAGAGAAAGAGAGAGAGAGAGAGAGAGAGTCATACTGATATAACGGTAGAAGCCCTAACCTGACAGTAAGCCTTGTGCTTATCATCAATAGTTTTAATCAGACGAACCCTAAAACATTAACATAGAAAGGCAACAATAATGATGATACTGATAAAAGTAGACATGATTAAAACACAAGATAATAGCTCTAAGTTGCTCTAATACAATTTTTAAAATTCATATATTAATACAAATTTCAACACAATACTGATTTATACCTAGTTTCCTCTGAAACTGATAATTCCTTCAATACTTTATCTGCTAATCTGCTCACATCATTATCAAACTCCTAACAAATATAATAATAATAATAATAATAATAATAATAATAACAACATTGTACACTTACATTCAATTTTCTCTCTATGTCATTCAATGCTTGGGCATGAGACTCAGTCTCGCTCAACACATTTCCCTGAAGACCATTCAGTGATCCCAAACCTATCAGAAAGACAATACAGCCAGGCACGTAACTCACTTTACTTGGTATTTCATAATCTGCCATGGAAACTTCCGGGTCAAAGTAACCCAGATTATTATCCGTTAGAGTATCAATGTCATCAGCAATCTTTGCTATCTGTAGAACAGAAAATTGAAATAGTAAAGAGAAAAATAATTGTATGTGACAAATGCATGTGGGTTGCTAAAGCTAGTTAGGATTTAAAATTTAATTTTAAGGACAATAAAACCAGCCATTAAATACAAATGTACATGAATACATGAGACACATTACCAGTGGCTCAATAAGCTCTGAGAATGAAGCATCGTAAGTTTCAGCAACAGCAGAAGAGGTAGTACTAGTAGCACCTGCAGTCTAAAGATGTATTGATACAGTATATTAATGTGAATAAATCTACAGTACAATACAGTATTTACTTGAGTAGTTGATAAAGGCTGTGTACTAGCCACAGGATGTGGAGGAGCTACAGTAAGAGACATTATTGTACGAACAGAATAACCTCCTTACCTGAAGGAGTAACCACCCCAGCTGTGACTACTGGAGGGACACTGGTAGGGGCTAATGGGCGAGACATAGGTACACTGGTAGGGACCACAGGACGAGACGTAGGTACACTGGTAGGGACTACAGGATAAGACATAGGTACACTGGTAGGGACTACAGGACGAGACATAGGTACACTGGTAGGGACTACAGGACGAGACATAGGTACACTGGTAGGGACCACAGGACGAGACATAGGTACACTGGTAGGGACTACAGGACGAGACGTAGGTACACTGGTAGGGACTACCGGACGAGACATGGGTACACTGGTAGGGACTACCGGACGAGGCATAGGTACACTGGTAGGGACCACAGGACGAGACATGGGTACACTGGTAGGGGCCACAGGACGAGACGTAGGTACACTGGTAGGGATAGCGGTAGGAGGATTAATAGGAGTAGAAGTAACCAATGGTGGACGATAAATGCCTCCAGGAACATAAGAGGAAGGAGGTTGAGAGGGAAGGGAGAAAGGAAGACGTGGGGAGCCATAAGCAGGAGGGAGAGAAGGAGGAGCAGTGGGAGAGAGAGTTGAAGGAGGTCTAAGAGGAGGAGCTGATGGTGTGGTGAATGATGGAGGAAGTGATTGAACACCAGAACCAGTTGACAGGTTAAACTTTGGTATAGCTAAAGGCCGTTGGGCTATAGGAGTAGAAAGAGGAGTACTTAATGGAGTTGTAACGGAGGCTGTAGTTTGAGATATTGTATTAGCGAGAGCAGATGGATTACTGACAGCAGTTGGTTGATTCGTTAAAGAACTCACTGAGAAACCTAAACTACTCGTTGGTTGTTGCTGCAACAGACCAGGTCTACCTAAACTAGCCTGACCGCGACCAATCCCAACCCCGCCTTGAGAGGGAATACCTGAATTAGCCACACCCNCACCAGTCACTCCACCACTTGGAGCTTGAGAAGAATTAGAAGAAGGCGGGGTTACCCCTCCCCCTCTAACAGGACTAGTGACTGGTCTAGGGTCCCCTAGTGTTATGGCAGGTGGTTGTACTAATTCTCTTAATTCATCAGGAGGAGCGTCTTCTTTGATGACCTCATAAGGTACCAAAACACCATCAGTTGAATACAACATGAAAATAGGACACGGTGGTAAAGTAAGGGCATCATCTAAAAGGGGGGAAAGTCGACACATGTACATGTACATGTGTCAAAATGGCTAGCGTACTTATCACAGCTGGTTTAGTTGACGAGAAATCCAGTGACACTCCGGCAAGATAGCACTCGTCGCTGTTTGAATCAAGAGGAACCTCAGCCCGCCCAGAATCAGGGGTGACCCACTCATCCCAAGACTAAGAGAAATAAAAAGCATCAGAAGACATACACTAATGAATAAATGAGACATTACAAATAAATACAATAGTTATACTACACAAGTACTGTAAATGTAATATTTGCCAATAAAACTCACAATAATTACATACTTATAATTGCAATGTACATGTACATGTACATGTACATGTACATGTACATGTACAGTATTGCAGGATGTAAAAGTACATGTACATGTACACCAGCTGTAGTACTCACTTTAGTATCTTTTGAGTGTCCAACGATGATAATGCCAACAGAACTAGCAGACCCAGTTAATAGGACACTCCTATACAATATAAGGCATCATTAGGCCAGTAGTGTGTCTTTAAACTTACCACGGCTGAATGAACCGGAACATAAAGTGGAAAAGGTTATAACCGGAAGCATAATAAATATCACCAAAATCAAGAACTGAGACTGGCTTATCTTTCTATAGAGGAGGAGGAAGAGAGAGAGAGAGAGAGAGTAGGATTGAAATGAAAGAACAAAATAAGGTGACTGCGTTTCTTTTATATTGAGTTACGCAATTGGAGAAAAAAGATAAAAATAAAAGGAAAGATTAAATTTTAAAGGTATAGAACTCACGCTGCCTGTCACTATGACGAATGATGATTGAGGAGGTAAGTCATCAGGACTAGGCGGACCGGGAGGAGAGTACACAGCAGCAAACTCATAAGTGCTGATCCAATATAAGTCAGACACTAGAATACAAAATGACAATGTACGATGTCACCACATTACATAATGTGTTATGGTCCCTGTACTATAGTACAGGGTAATTGGCCAAATTTCGCCAAAAATGAAAAGGAGAGAATTCTCAATTTTTATAATTTTACCTGATACATATACATGTACTTATGTTACATTTCAAATTTGAGCTGATTCCGATCAAGTTTTGATTTTTTATGAATTTTTAAAGTTGCTCCAAATTCCATGTACTGTATTGTAGTGCTTGTCAGCTCATGAAGTTAGCTCACTTAGCATGCTTTGTGGGGGGAAACCTGACTGTAATACATACCTTGTCTTTGCTCTCCATTGAAAATGTTTGGGCAAGCTATCTCTTTCTTCACCTTCAAGTCCTAACATCAAGAAATACTGAAACTCTGTCCATAAAGTCAATATAATACTCACATCTCCTAGCTGGATGATTTTACCATTCTTAGTTCCAACAGCAATCTGCTTCCCTTTAGGGCTCCAACAGACTATAAAGAGAGACATAAAAGAGAAAGAGGATCAGGTTACTGACTGCAAGATGCCTCAATGCTTTTCTGCATTAAGAGTTTTGAAGGGTTTTGTCCAGCACTGATGAGCAGGAGATCGCCCGATGATAAAGATATGGCTAAATGGTCGGAGGCTATGCCAGTATTCCATATAAGGCAGGTCACACAAACTAAAAAGAAGGAGAAAGAAAGAGGCCAGATTAGGAAGAGACAAAGAGAGAGAGAGAGAGAGAGAGACAAGAGAAAAATGACATACAAGTACATGTACATAGTCCCTTCTTCTTACCATGAGGTGGTATCTTCATCTCAACTGTTGTCAATGGAGTTCGAGGACTCTATATTAGACAAAGACACACTGTAATCACTTACAATTAATTATAATTAATTAGCATGTACATATGTAAATGCATTAAATAATTTATGTAAAGTACGCCACTATAACTATTAATTTTTTATGCAATTAAAATTCATTAAGCTAAATTAACTATACCATCAAATTTTTATAACAACAAATTCACACTCCATCTCTCCCCACACAAAATCAACCCCATGCAAGTACGTCATAATCCTTTCCTTACCGTTCCAGTATAAAGTGTCTCAAGGTTGTATACCATACAATATAAAGCAGGAGGTCCCTGTGGAGCCTTAGAGTGTTTTATACAGACACAGAGGAGAGTCTCGGTGCAGTTGAGGGCAATGTGGGATACTTTACCAGGCAGCTGTACTGATACAGGACTCAACAACTGTAGAGGAGCTAAGAGAAGAATATAGTCAATGCTTTAATACATTATATAAGGTTTTAATTACAAAATAAATTGCATTATTATATAATCATTTTTTATCATTTAGAACATTTTACATCCCCCCCCTCTCCCTCTCTTTACCAGTCTGTGATTTCCCAAGTGAAGGATCATCGTTAGCTCTCATCAATGCTGATGTCTTAAATAAAACAATACCTACAGGAACATAACTCATAGAATAGGAACTATAATGATAATAATGCTCTACCTTCTCCTGTTCCAAGTACAGTCAAGCCACACCTACTAGAAGAAACCAGGAGCGAGTTCCTCTGCCCAGTGCAGTCAGGTGGCTTGGAAAATGTTATCTTCCTCAACTGGCGGAAGTAAAAGTTCTACAAGGTTTGTAAAAGCAAGGTAAGATTGCTGGTAGACACTTACATTGACATCTTTCTGAGCCATTTTTGAGGACACGTGAACCCCTATTCCCCGGAGTTTTTTCCCAAATTTGTTAGGCATAGTGTACGGACATGAACGGAGTCAAGACTATTGATTTATGACCTGATTGACCTCATTAACCCTTTAATTAACCCTTGAAGTTTGCACTTTGCAGGGTTGTAACTTGTACTTGTAAGCAGTTTGTAGTGCCAGACCATAAGGACTAGATCTATTTCCATCTTTCCTCGAGTTCAGCTTCTTTGTATCCCAGTTGACGTTGAAACCATTAAATAAAGTTACTCCTTTTATAAGCATGTCTTCCAATCCCATTCTTCTTCTCCTGGCAGATACTGATGGCTCCATAGAGAGAGAAGTCATTGGCTCAGACCACCAACTAGATATGGTGATATGCCCGGACCTCAAAACCGGCCTCACTCCAGAGCAATGGTCCCGAGTACAATACATCATTGCCAGTCATCTTTACACTGTTGACAAAGAGCTACAGGACCGTTGCCCTTCACTGAAAGTCATCGTCCGACTTGGCATTGGTGTGGACAGCATTGACGTTGCTTACGCTGCTAGTACTGGAGTTGCCGTATGCAACGTGCCCGACTATGGGATAGAGGAGGTAGCAGACACCACAGTGGCTCACATACTGGCTTTGTTCCGGCAAACCACGGCTCTACACCAGGCGCTCCAAGATGGTGTTTGCTACGAGACTTTCACTCAATTTGTCGAAAAGGCTCATCCGTCTCGACGCATAAGAGGAAAAACCCTTGGAATGATAGGAATGGGTAACATAGGAATGGCCGTGTGTACCCGTGCCAAAGCTCTGGGTTTTGATGTAATGGTGTATGATCCGTACCTTCGCCCTGGTACCGATAAAGCCCTAGGTATCACGCAAGTGGACAGTCTTGATTACTTGATACAGAATAGTAACTGTGTCTCTCTTCATTGTCCCCTTACACCAGAGACTGCTAACGTCATTAATTCAAAGTCGCTCCAGCTCTTCAAGAAGGACGCCTTTCTAGTCAACACGTCACGTGGAGGACAAATAGACGAGGCGGCCCTGGCTGAAGCACTGAAGTCCGGACAGCTGGGAGGTGCAGCACTTGATGTACAAGTTACTGAACCATTTAAACTTAAGGGGAGCGTTTTCGATGGAGTACCTAATCTCATATTGACCCCTCATGCTGCCTGGTATAGTAAGGAGAGTTATGAAGATGTACGCACTGGAGCCATCAAAGCTGTCAAGTTTTGTCTGACTCACAGTGATTGCAGTCGTTTGCCAAACTTCCTTAATGCCAAGACCATTGATAAAGAAGCTTGCAAGAAGCGTTGGTCCAAACTCTAGGGAACACCACGTTTTTTAAGCAATAATTATACTGGTACTTCTATATTACATGTAGTATTGCTGCTGATTTTCATTAACTTTTTTTTCATTGTCTTTTTATCATAGTGTAGCATTTTTCAGTTGATTTTTGATGATTTATTATTGATTTCACATAATAATAATAATAGTTCATTATTGTGCCACACGGACTATTCCAGCATTGGAAGGAAACGACGAAGTTGTTTCGTTTCTAAGTTTTCTGTCATTAATCGTCGATACTCTCCTGCTCAGGTCTTTCTTTGCCTTTTGCTCAGGAAGAGCATCAGAAGATGAGAGAAACTTAAGTTTACCTACAAAGTACATAATGAGAATAAAATAATTATAACACACCTGAGATTAATTATACATGTACATGTAGTCATGTACATGTATAAAGTATCAATGTAGCAATTCCTGTAGTGACTTTCTCTGCCAAAAATGCTATAATAAAGTACATGTGTGTTATTAATCAGAATTGGCATGGACCTGATATCTATACTTCAACAAGTAAGCTATCAATGCCACCATACATGTACATGAACATGAACATGAATGTAACATGTACATGGATCATCGGATCATCATCTTTCTCCTTACCAACGGTGACATCCTCCAATTGATGATGCTCTTTTGTTCTCTTCGGAGACCCAATAGGTTTAGAAAGTCTTGATCCACTCCTCATGGTTAGTGACGGAAGCGATTCTGTCACCAAGCTACTGCTCCCAATGCTAGATTGACTGATAGATGTGGCTTCTTTTAATTTCTTCTGCTGACTTCCCTGGCTTCCTTGGAGTGGGTTAATGACTCCAACAAGAGGTGATGTGTTGAATATCTTGTTGTAGTTCTTCTCTCTGTTAACCAGCTCCATTTCACATATCTTCTTCTCTGTCTAAAGGGTAAGATTACATAATAACAGTATGTAAGTACATAATGTTACTCTTGTGCTATGGGTCCACAATGAGCAATAAAGGAATGAAGAGAAGGAGAGAGAGAGAGAGAGAGAGAGAGAGAGAGAGATTACTCACTAATATTTCCTTTAGCTTCATATCCTGCTTAGCAATCATCTCCCTTAGCTTCTGGATCAGCTCAACATCCTCTGGTCTAGCCTCTCTATTCATGAAACGCTGCTCAGCCTCATACAGCCTAAAGATGTACATACAGATGAAGCCATACATTACTGGCAGCATGCCTTCTCTCTTTTTCCTCCAGTTTAGCTGTTAGGATTTGCTTTGCTTTCTTAAAGTCACTCAGTAAGGTCTGAGACTGATGCCGGTAGTGTGAATGCATTGATTCAATCTCAGCTTTATGACTGGAAGTGAGTGACTCTTCTTTTAATCTGTGATTGAAAAAGAATAATAAAAATAGAGATGAGTTTATAATTATATACTTCATTAGTGACTCCATTTCTCTTTTTGTTGCTATCAGTTCTTGTTTCTTGACTTCAAGCTGTGCCTTCAGCTCCTTTAGGTCAATCATGAGTCTCTCTCCTCTCTCTTTCTCTCTTGCAAGGAGCGACTTTGTGCCTTCGCAATCCTTTGATAATGTCTTCAGTGATGCCTGACTACTCTCAAACTATAAAATGTACATACAAATTTGTGATTAAAAAAACAAACCATACTACATGTACATCACTAGCACAATAAAAAAAGCATTCTAGTGTGTGCCTGTTATATTTCCATTATTATTATTATTATTATTATTATTATTATTATTATTATTATTATTATTGTTGTTGTTGTTGTTGTTGTTATTTACTTCTTTTGTTGCTTTTTTCAAGGCAACAGATGCTTCTTCCTTCTGCTCCTCTAGTTGTATTGCATATGCTGATTCAAGTTTCACCAGAGCTTCTTGGTGCTCTGAGATACAATTCTGTTCAAACAATGCTAAAGAAAGAAAAATAAAATCAACAAAATAAATATACAAATGTACTATTACTGAATCTACATGTATTAATAATATTTAATATTTACAAAGACATTGTACAATTAATAATATATTCAATGGGATTTTGCTTACTTCGTTTTTCTCTGCATGATTGAGCTAGATCTGACAGTGCCCATTCTTTCTCTTTGTTTAGTTTTGTCTTCAGTGCAATGATTGAGAGGTTGTGGGCCCTAGTTAGCTCATCAATTTCTTTTCTGTTTAATTCTGACATAGCATCAGCTTGTAACTGCAGGAAAAGGAAAAAACAAGAGGTACAGTGAACTATCATTTCTCCCTAGCTCTCTCCTTTTTCTCTAACTTCAGCACATTGTCCGTGTCATGTACATGAATGTCATAATGTCCCCTTTCTATAATACTATACCTTCTTGTCTATTTCGTGTTGTTCTTTCAGCCTCTCAATCTCTTCTTTATGTTTAGTCATTAGTCCTTCGATAGCTGTCATTGCACTTCCTCTGGCTGACTCTAACTCTTTCTTTAATTGAGATACCTGAGCTGCTGCAGTAGCCTCTGCTTCATCAAGTGCAGTTTTTAAAGATAATTGTAAATCATGTAGATCCTTTTCAAGTACAACTATCTGTGAGTGAATGATATAAAAGAGTTAATAATATACATGTACATGTACATGTATGCACATGTTGACTGAGTTATTGGCAATATAAAAAAGTGCCAAAATTCTAAAAAGTACCCAAGGCTATAGCCCATGGTTTTTTCTAAAAAATGGCTCCGGAATCACCCCTAATTTTTATTACATTTTCTGATACACATTGATGTACTTATGCTGTGTAGCAAGTTTGAGCTGATTCCGACTTCAATTTTTCAAGTTACAGCCATTTTAAAAAAGTGCCAAATTTCTGAAAAGTACCCAAGGCTATAGCCCATGGTTTTTTCCAAAAAAATGGCTCCAAAATCACCCCCAATTTTTATTACATTTTCTGATACATATTGATGTTCTTATGCTGTGTAGAAAGTTTGAGTTAATTTCGACTTCAATTTTTCAAGTTACGGCCATTTTAAAAAAGTGCCAAAATTCTGAAAAGTACCCAAGGCTATAGCCCATGGTTTTTTCCAAAAAAATGGCTCTGAAATCACCCGAAATTTTTATTACATTTACTGATGCATATTGATGTTCTTATGCTGTGTAGAAAGTTTGAGCTAATTTCGACTTCAATTTTTCAAGTTACGGCCATTTTAAAAAAGTGCCAAAATTCTGAAAAGTACCCAAGGCTATAGCCCATTTTTTTTTCCAAAAAAATGGCTCCAAAATCACCCCCAATTTTTATTACATTTTCTGGTACATATTGATGCTAGTAAGTATTTCCTGCAATTTAAACTATAAAAATGCACAGAACATAACATACTTTTTGTAACAGAGTCTCTTTCTCTTTCGACCAGACTTCTTGTGCACCCTTTAATGCTGTGTCTTTAATGTCCACCATCTTTTTTAGTGAAGCTTGACTTATCTCTTCATTCTGTCTTTGTAGCTCATTACGCAACAATGACAATTCATCTCTAAAGGTTTAGGGTATGAAAATAAAACCCCAAGCACATGTACACGTTTCTTTACTTTAACTTTGAAGACCAATATGTCTCCATTTCCTCTCTCACTCTTGTCTCAGTGGCAGACACCTCTTCTTTGTGTCGATTAGCAGCTGCTGCTAACTTGTGATTAAGATCATCTATTGATAACTACAGAAGCAAAAGGACGCCATTCACTACCAAATCAAAATTTCCAATGCATTGTTCATGCATGCACATGTACGTATTGCAGTTTCTAACTTCTAATTGAATTATTTTCTCTTTGAAGGCATCTCTCTCTCCCCTGACAGAGCAGAGGCTGTCACCACAGAAACTGAGATCTCTTGTCAGCTGATCAACGCGTGATTTTGACGACCCTAAAAGTTTTTCTTTCTCTGTCACAGACTCAAGGAGGGATTGCTGCGAGGACCTAAGGCTTCTTATTTCTGCTATTTTGCCTGAGAGGGTTTCGGTTAGTTCAGCAATTCTATTGCTGTATTTTTGATCACGATTGCTGAGCTCTGAGGAATTTTGGCTTTCCAATTGTTTGCGAAGTTCAATAAGCCTTTGCTCATTCTCTTTTATCATCGAATCTAATTCTGTGAATGAGAGAGATGGAGGGAGGAATAGTGATGTACATGTAATTAGTTTTCTATTCTGGATGCTAAAGAATTAAGGCTGTGTTTACACTACTCCGGTTTCATTGGAAAACAGAGGCTTTTTGTCACGGATACAGCTTTCGTTTACACTAAAACACATGAAAACGCATACTTATCAGGAGACAGTTGAAAACGAATACCTAAGCGGAATGCAGCTGATGGATTAGTGTAAACATCTAAAACCAGTGATAGCAAAAATTATTCGGATTCAGTGGAGTGGAGTAGTGTAAACGCAGCCTAAAGCTCAGTAGCTTACTCCTCACCTTTAATGTGTTTCGCTCTCATTTCTTCAAGTTCTTTTAAGTGAATACCCTCCAGGTCTGTTTCCCTTTGGGTCAGTTGAGACCGAGACGCCTCTATCTCACGAGCAAACTGAGCACGTAGCTCACGTTTCTCTTGCGCAACAGACTCCAGTTGCTATCAGAAAGAATAATAAAAAGAGGAGAGGAATCAAGGTTTTTAAATTGATTGCGAAAAAAGTTAACTCACTTTCTCTAGTTTTTTTATTTTCTGACTTGCTCCATCAGCAGTCTCCTTTGCATTCTGGACACTGGTCATTTTCTCTATTTCAAGCAGTTCACAATTCTCAGACATTGCTTTAAGCTTGTTACAAAGGTCACTTAGGTCATGCTCTTGGCTCACACGAACTGCTTCTAATTCTCCAATACGAACTACAATTATTGAGAAAATAATAAATAAAGTATGGTAGTACATTGTCTACTTATGCTGACCTGCCATTGATTTCATTTCCTCGCTCTGTTGCTCGCATTTTCCCAATGCTAGTGAGCTCTTCTCTTTAAAAACACCAAGTTCACTTATTACTTTCGTCAGTTCTTCCTCTTTCTCCTTGAGCAAATCATCAATTGTTCGACTTGACTTTGCTTTCATATCTAAGTCTCTTTCCAAGTCTCTGTTTCTCTGTTCTGCAACAGCAAGGTTGTCTTTCACAGTACTCAAATCAGAGGATAAGAAAGACAACTGCTCGTTTAATTGACTTTCTTTCTCAGCAAATTCACTCCGTAACTTTTCAAAGGAGAGTTTATATGCCTCCATTTCATTCTGGAGCTGGCCATCTCTTTGCTTTGTTAGACTTTCTCTCAGTTCTAAAAGCTCCTTCTCTTTGTTGCTGGCAAGATCTTTCATGGCTCTCTCATGATCATTAGTCAGCTGCTTCACTGCTTTTTCATTTGCCTCAATAACAAAACTACAAAAATTAACTTTATTTTGATAACCTTACACTACACCATACCTGCATTTCTGATTGAGTGCTTCTATCTCTTCGCCTGCTTTCTCTTTTGTATCTTTAAGCTCATGTCTGAGATTAGAACTCAATGCCTCAAGATTACGAAGTTCTGTCTCCTGATGAGATAGTTCTGATTTGGTTGCTGATAGAGTCTTCTCGACCTCCTCTAGTTGGCTTTGCTGCTGTTGGAGCCTATTCTCCATTGCTCCAATATAGGCCTCCTATATTTGCAGTGGATAAAACTGTAGCTACTTTTAATGGTCATACTTTTTCATGACCCAGCTTCTCTTTCTGTGTTTCTAAAGATGCTACTTGAGTCTGCAATATGGCTACTAGTGTCCTCTCTTCTTCCCAGAGCTTAGTTTTGACTGATTTCTCCTCTTCAATGAGCTGGAGCTCTTTCTGATGCTGAGCCTTAAGACATTGGAACTGACTCTCACTCTCATCTAGCTTAGTATTCAAATTATGTATTACCTATAGTAACCCATGGAATTACTGTTAATCTAGATATCATCATTATCATATTGGCAGTATTAAGGTGATGAAAAACAAACATAATAATTTTATTATTTCAACCTTAGTGAGCTGTGCAATCTTCTTTAATATTTTCCTGTGATATTCCCTGGGTATAGCATCACTAAAACTGGCCATAGAGGTAAGGCTCCCGCTACTGACAGCTCCCTTCACTCCAGCCATTATGATCCTAGACACTAATGATAATTATTTATCGGTTACCAGGGCAACTAGAAGGGCGTTGCCCCTATACTGAAGTCACGTGATCGGTAGAAAACACAAAACTCCACAAAAATTCTCTCTCTCCATTTCTCTCACTCTCTCAAAAAGGAAGAGACGTAGAGAGAGATGCCCATTTCTTTCAGTAGCCTGAGGGACAGGTTCATCCGGGGGAGAACACAACGTCGTCGGTCTATGTACGACAAGCCGGCAAGGGAAAGGCACCCCGTCTCTTTCTCATGTAGTATATTGACAGTGTTAACAGTAGTGACTGGTCTCTCTCTACCACAATGGGCTACCTCAAACTCTTCCAAATGCAACTGTGTGTTTGGATTGACTGAAGTGACATGCATTAACCCACACACGACTGCAGGGAACTGCGACTCTTTAGCAAGTAAGGATAAAACTTATTAGATCTGTTTTCTGAGTAAGTATTGGGATTAAAGTACAACTTTGCAACATGACTTTACAAATAAGAACAATTAAGAATGGATATGATTGTACTTTGTAGCAATTTTGTTTATTAGTTTGTGGGTTTTTAATAATACACATTGTATTCCCAATGCCACAATATGGTATTATGGTATGTACTACAAGACAGTGATGACATTATGTAAAATCTCCTCTCCCTCCCTCCCTCTCTCTCTCTCTCCCTCTCTCTAGTGACTCAGTATTACAAGACATCACACGAAATCCTCATATCCTGTATGCTAAGCATCAGTGTCCTTATAATAATCTCCTCATTGATCGGTGCTGTCATTAGTTGTGGATACCCACGCGAGAAACTAGAATTCATCCGACACTTATCAATATTTAACATTGTATCTAGTGAGTTGAAGAAGCATCATAAGTCAGCTAGCACTTTGTTTAAACTGTCAACAATAACTGTGATCAATACTGAGCTTATAAATGACAGCTATAAATAACAAGGATGAGGCAAAGTACATTGGTACTTGTACTTTAGTATTACAAAAGCACAAGATCCCATTTTTAGTCAAAGAAGAGTTTATTTCCTGTACTGCCTTATTTACAAATATGTAATCATTGTAATGCAAACATCATATCTAGGAAGCATGTACATGTACACATACCATGATAGTTGTACATGTGCCAGGCACATGTACATACTACACACTGTATTATTGATCTTGCTTATAGTCAATTTTAGTCATTATTAGCACAGAAATTATAAACTTCTCTCCTCACTTGTAGTGCTATGTGTTGTCCTTGTTGGTGGCTTTTGGCTCGCTGTGTGTGAAACGTTGCCTATAGATGGAAAGACTAAATCCCAAGCAGCCTACAGGGATACAGTACGATTTGGCTATGCCTACTACATATACATGAGCAGTGCTGTGTTTGCACTGATAGCTACTAGTTTTAATCTCATCAGGGCAAGGAGTGCAGCAGAAAGACGAAGGCATCACAGACGTCACTACAGGTAAATAAAATACCAAAATAGTGAAAATACATCTCTCGTGACAATTTGGCACATCCTGCAATTGAGTGCATACATGTATCCTATAGTTGCATAACTTATGGCTGATGATTATTATGGTTATGTAATTTTTTGTAGGATGAAATGAATATCATTATTTTTTTACTTTAATAGGCAAAGATTTATGCCCGCCCCTCGGGCAGTGCTACCTCCACAGACACTGTCCCAAAGACCACGGCCACAGACAAGGGAACAGCAAGAGGAGGAAAGCCCACCAGAATATACTGAAATAGCTACAACATCATTCATAGAAAATTTCAGTGAGACAGACAGCTTGATTGAGCCACCCCCCTATGTTCCATGAATATTTTTATTATTATTTATGCTTAAATTATCTCTCTCTCTCTCTCTCTTTCTTTGCCTATAATTATTATTTTTATCATGTTTATATACACTTGTCGCTTTACTTTTTTGTCTGTAATGATGATATTAAATGCAAATCAAAAATTTTTGAAATGATAATTATAATTGTTTGATGATTGGTGAGTGATTATACCAGAGTCTTATTGTGTTCATTGCCACACCCCTTTAACGAACCCTTTACTACATGTAATACATGTATACCTTAATTTAAAGTTTGGTCTTTCCTTGAAGTATGTCATCTATTGACGGATACATCCAATTTGTCTTCTCAAGTTCTTTTGCCATTTTAGAATACTTCTCCTTTACTTGTTTTCGTCTTCTTTCAAATCCTTCAGAAATGACACGATCAGCCTTTAAAAAGAGAAGGAATTCAAAAATTATTAATTGGAAAAGGTGCCAAGTGTTCTCACCAGGTAGTCCCTCTCCATCTCTAAAAGGATGGCTTCAGCCTTCTTGATTTCTTTCTGTCTCTCTTTGTCCTCCTGCTTATCTCCTTTCTTCTCCAACTCTTTCAATTTACTGGAAGATATTCTGGAGTATCCACATTCTGGAGTTGTGTAAGGAGCACTCATGCTGTGCTGTACTGTACGCCCCCTTCAATCTCAAAAAAAGAGGCGGGACCAGAAATTTGATACATCCCGCCCACATACATTCCCGCCAAAAGAGTGGATCGTTCATCCATCCAACCAATCCGATCGAGGCTTTGTATGACGTCATCTCAAAACTCTAATCGGATTGGTCAGGGGGTCAAGTGATCCTAGCAAGTGATCCGATTGATCGAAATAAAAAGAGAGAGCCTCAGACTGTACACTTCAGTCACAGTTTTGGAGATCACCGAGCAAAGACACTTTCAAATCTAAAGATGCCAGGAAAAGTTGCAAGCAAGAAGGGCGAGAAGAAGGCCGCCACCAAGACAAAAGTCGCCACCGGGGACAAGACCAAGAAGAGGAGACGCGTCCGCAAGGAAAGCTACTCCATCTATATCTACAAGGTCCTCAAGCAGGTCCACCCCGAGACTGGTATCTCCTCAAAGGCCATGAGTATCATGAACTCCTTTGTCAATGACATCTTCGAGAAGATTGCTACTGAGGCCTCCCGTCTGGCTCAATACAACAAGAAGTCTACCATCACCAGCAGAGAAATCCAGACTTCAGTTCGTCTCTGGCTGCCAGGAGAGCTCTCCAAGCATGCCGTCTCTGAGGGAACAAAGGCTGTGACCAAGTACACCAGCAGCAAATAAACTCTTTGACTGCACCCCTGCCTTCTTCTTTACTATCAACCGGCTTTTTTCAAAGCCACCCATTTCACAAATGATTCTCACTTGATCGTTTTTTTATGATTGTCATTATAACACTTTATTACCATCATAAATCATTGCATAATATGTGTACACCTCTACCTTAATGAGCAGATTGTGTTTCAGTTAGTGCATTTGGTGAATAGATATTCTCAGTGCTTAGTTTCTTGCCTGAAGGATCAATTGCATATGTTGATATCTGCATGTTGTCAATAGCTTCACTTATTTTCTCATCCAAGTTCTCAAAAGTAATAAAGCCTTCAATCTCCACCTGTAAAAGCAATGGTATAACAATAGAACAGTTAAGTGGGTGAATTTATTTTTATGGGTTAAAAAACTAATGTGCTATAACATAATACAGTGTATTTCATTTTCACCAAAAAATGGCAAGGATCAAACGTTATTATAGCCTTTAATCTTTGGCCAAATTTTGTTAAAAAATGAAAAGAAAGAATAATTCATTTTTTATAATTTATGCATATACATGTTCTTATATTACGTATCAATTTTGAGCCGACTCCAATCAAATTGCATTTTTAACTTTTTAAAGTCACTCAAAAATCAGACCCAAGTCCCTGTACTTATAGTACAGGATCATTGGCCAAATTTCACCAAAAATAAAAATGAGAGGATTCTCCGTTTTATCTGATACATATACATGTACTTATGTTGTGTAGAAAGTTTGAACTGATTCCGATCAAGTTAGGATTTTTAACGAATTTTAAAAATTGATCCAAATGTTATATACTGTACTGTAATGCTTGCCAGCTGCTCTTTAGCTCACTTAGCATACTTTGTGATCTAAAATAACACAAAAGCTCAATTACACTACCTACTAATTTGCTAATGATTAGCATCATTATCCCCTACATGTACCGTATAGCGGGAAATTTTCGAGGATAGCAAATTTTGCGGATTTTTCATGATTCGCAAAATTAAATTCCTTGAAAATCAATTTAATACGGTACAAGATGGCAGATTAGTGGAAATTCGCGAAAATTAATTCTGCAAACTTCCGGATACGGATCATTCGCAAAATTTATTATCCTAAAAAACCCGTTATACGGTACCCTAACTTACATTTGAAGCAATGATGTCCTTGATGTGTTCCTTCTTAATTTTTTCTTGAGTTTTTTGTCTCAAAGATTCTACTATAACTTTTCTTTGCTCCTCTTTTTCCATTTTCTTTTCTTCAATTTTCTTTCTAAGAAAAGAATGTTAATTATTGGCCACAAATATTGATTGCATTATATTTAGAATACCTCTTTTCGTCTATTTTCAAATTTTTTGACACTATTTTGTCGTCATACAATTTCCCTTCAACTTCTTTATCTAGCTTCATTCTCATCGTTTTTAACTTTTCATTTTCCTTATCCTAAAAAATGGTACAGTAAATTTTTCCCCGAAACAAATTAGCACCTACTACTAGATAGGGCCCACCAATCTCTCGTTACAATTACAATAACTTTTTTAAAGTACTCGTTTATTGTCAAAATAATTTAGTAATTAATTAATAATTTCAATTCGATAAATTATCTTAATATGGCGTGAACCAATTCATATTTCAATCACAAAATCAAGAACACCCATAATTAAAAATTTACAATAATTATAATTAATAATCCCTGATCACGTGACTCACATCCTTGAGCCACTCCTCCCTATATTTTCTTCTCTGGGCTGTCATCTCTTTCCTGTACTTCCTATAAGCATCAATATCCTCCTGGGGCATCCTGTACTTCTTGGCATAGCATCTAGCAGGTTGAAAGAGACTTCCTTGTCGCAGAAAAAGAAAGAGACAGTCTTTTGAGCGAGAAACGTACACGTGGGTAGCCATTTTGACCACACCTATGGGAGTGGTCTGGTAATAGGTGCGGATAGTTATTAAATCTAGTTAGATGTAATATTTAAATAGTTAACTAACTTAACCCTTTGTCCATTCCCACGTGGAGTCATAAAGAAAGAATGTTCACTTGCAGGAGAGTTTCCTCAGCTTTTTTACAAAGATTGATCTGCAGATCACAGTCAACAGGAACTCCAAATGGTTTGTTGATAGTGTAAAATTTTTGAGAGGCATTTGCAGATTTTCAAATGTTTGCATGAAAATTTAAAAATTTTAAAAAATAAATAATGAACTCAAATTTTTAGTTTCAGTTGATCCAGCTCAGCATATATTCAGTGCTGCCTGCGTTCAGAGGTTTCCTCTCCTTGGTAGAGTCAAGACCGACCTTGAAGTCAAAGTCAATCAATTTAAAGTAAGACCAGCAATCAGATTTTTATTATTTTTTTTTTTCAAAAATATTTGATAGGTTGTTGCTGCTGAAAAAAGGAGCCGCTTATCTGATTTTGAATTAGAAGAGCAAAAGTTTGCTGCACTAAAGGAAACCGTTGAAAAGAAAGCCAAAGAAGAAGGAGTCAATGTCAGCATAATAATAAATAAGATTAATAATAATAATTACTGTTATAATTTTATGTTAAGGTCTCAGTTTTTGATATGGATACTTCTTTTAAAGATCTTCAGGAATCATTTGAAAAAGACTTTGAATCTTTTGAACCTCAACCAAGGTAAGGCTAACATTACTTTTTAAATTTATTGCTTTATTTCAGAGAGACTGAGCCTGACAGAACTGGTGATGTTCGTTCAACCATGAGAAAACTTGATCGTATTCTCTACCTTCTTGTGAAGACTGAGGATGAATGGAGAATGCCTCAAGGAGGTCTAATGGAAGGAATGAATCTTTGTCAGGTAATTGTAATGAATAGAGATGATATTCTCATATCTTACTTTTAATAATAGTGACACTATTATTATTCATTAATTTTTTTAAATTTAAAGACTGCACAGGAGCAATTGACTAAACTCTGTGGGGCAGATCTCTCAGTTCAATTTATTTCAAACACACCAGTTGCTTGTCATTCATTACCAATCAATAAAAGATCAAAAGCAAGTCATTGAGTCATAATTTTTTTGATCCATTTCTATTTTAAACAGGTATTTTTTCTTAAGGCCCAGTATTTATCAGGAACTGTGAAGATTGATACTGAAATGCTGGAAGACTATGCTTGGGTTACTAAAGAAGAACTGAAGGATTATCTATCGCCACACTATTACAAATCGATATCCCCTGCACTATTAGACTGACGAATTACCATAATAATTATATCAATAGTTTATGTTTGTATGTGAAATAAAGAAAGGTTATAGTTTCATAAATCAACATCATCGTCACTGCTAAACTCTTCCAGCAGTTCCTGGTCTTCCTTTTCCTCTTTCTCTGCTGCTCTTCTACTTCCTTCTCTTAAACACATTAAAATGACTGCTATCACAGCAGACATTGCTGCACTAACCCCTGAAATGGGGAGAGAGAGAGAGCAAGTATATTAACAAATGAATGCTATTCCTGTACACTTATTTATGCATACAAAACGTGCATTCATGTATTACTTAAAATGATGCTATATATATATATATATATGCTTTAATGATAGTATGGATATTAATATGTACCAATTATTGCAATGAATACACCAACTGGTACTCCTCTTTCAGGACAGTTCTCAATTGAAGGCTTACAGCCATTGTTACTAGGACCACCTGTTCCTATAGTTGTAGTTGTTGTAGTTCCATTAGTTCCGTTAGCATTTGTAGCATTTCCACTAGTTATTAGCGTAATCACAGATCCTCCTCCGGAAGTTTCTTCTAAAACACTTCCAAGCCGTTGTGCCAAGAAAGACTGACTCACTTTTATTGAGCGAACGTAATCTTTATTCCCTCCTCCTTTTGCGCCATGAAAGATTGTCAGTGGGTATTTGAGGCGTGATAGGACATCACTGAAATCTTTTGTCATGTACTTCATTCTCTCATTAGGGATAAGGAAGTTTATTATGTTCACATCGTCAAGTAAATTGAGTTTTTCCTTAAGGTCACTGATGACATCCTCTGTTAGTCTTAGAGTGTCGGCAAGTGGAAAGAAAAAGTTATCGTTTTCTCCATGATCGAAATAATACTTTTGAGTATAGTGAAGGTATTGCTGTCCTGGATTATTCAGAAGGACTTCCTTCTCTTGAGATATGTAGTCAAATATGAGAGATAGTGGCTTGTAAGCATTTGTGAGTGGCAGATGAAACCTATGCAATATAAGTAGATATGTTATACTGCAAAAAAAAACTAAAATTCTTTAAAATGATAACAATGCACAAAATGATTCATAATTTGTATAATACAGAAAAGGTTTCTAATACTGGGTTGTAATAATACAACCCAGTATTACAAATTTATAGTACATACTACAAATCTACATACTACATTTTATTTTATATTACATACTACAAATTTACCTTGGGGACAACATGGCAACGTTTTGAACAAAATCAGGTCTTGTAACTGCTTCATAAAATATAGTAACGGCAAAATCAGAATGTCCAATCATCGTCGCTCGATGTCTTGGTGGATCAAACAGGAGCCTGTCTGAAGTCATGTGCTGAGCTTTACGAACAAGATCATTTTCAACGCCACGCATAAAGCTAGTCCCCCAACCTTGACGATATGCAAGGCTGAGACAGCGTTTGCTTTTTGAGATAAACTCCTCGCTGGTGCAAGGCTCAGCTCTGTCCTCCACCCAACACGTCTGACAACCTGAGCAGTCCGGATTGGAGCCTTGACAGAACAAGTCGTAATGAGTATGAAAGGGAGTCATGAAGTACTTGTTCATGTATGCTTTGTTCCAGTATGGTGGCTCAATCATTAAAACCACCAGTTCTTCAACTGAGGCTTCGTGCACAAAAAGATACTCTAAAAGCGGCCCGAGGTGGGGACTCGAGTCAAAGAGTATCACGAGGGGATAGTTCTTGCGTATGTTCTCATTAAAGCTGGGCGGATAGATAATCCTGCAATTGAGGACAAGGTAATCAAAGAAGAGGTAAAGAGCTAGGTCGTATTCGAACGCCCGGGACGTAACTGATTCACTGATGAACCAAGGAAAGACAGTCACACTGGGGGTCCTGTAACTAACAGCACCAAACATTGAATTTGATACAGGGAGGTTTATGTAGAAATTTGGTCCTTTCATCCCAAGTTTCCCTAAATTGTCCTGATAGATACGAAACTCAAGAGCTCTCTGGTTCAAAGTGCAATGGGTGGAATTCAAGCAAGGGAGACCGTCGGAGTCCACAATGTAGTTAATTTGCGTTGACCATGTATCAATGGATTTAGCTGACTTCCTCATGCTTAATGATCGCTCCCAACTCAGACCAGGGCCAGAGCCTCTTATGTACATATTGGTCACTCTCCCTCTGTACTCGCTGCTCAGCGGGCGGTACTTAGCTATGATGTTTAGTTGGAACCTTTGTGTTCCTGCTGCTATGCACTCCTGGTTGGACTCGCTCTCGAAGACACAGACGCCATCAAGCTGCCATGACTTGTCTGGCTGGTGACATGAAGCTCCATCAACTTTTTCAAAGCAAACATTAGAAATTCTTCTAGCCTTCGGCTCCACTGAGTTTATTAGCAGAGACAGGCTGACTGAATAAAGAATAAGAGCTGCCATCTATCCTAAAATTGAGCCAAAAAATAGTATAATAAATGATCAATTCACCTTGGCTTGTTGCAGCTGTTTGGGTGGAGCTGGCTGCACAGCTGATTATGGAGGTGTGGTTTACACCACGTGGGCGTGGTATTCAACAAAATGGCTGCCGCAAGGGTGACCTTGTACAGTTCAATGGAAAGCTACAGGCAACAAAGAAAAGGCAAAGTAAGCTTTAGGATAGATTATAAGAGCTTTATGGTAGTTATTTATTGGAATTATGCCGTATTTTACCAATTTATTTTTCATATTTTTCTCTAATTTTCTCTTAAGGTCATTTTAGTTAGGGAGACTTTGAGCGAAACTTTAGTTGCTGCATCTGAGAAACTCAAAGAAAACGTCGAAGAGTTGCGGTTACTGACGGGTGGGGTAGTTGATGACATCACTTTATTAAGGTTAATTAATCATTGAGGCTGTGTTGTGGTTTGGGTTTAAAATTTTAATTTTTCCAGTACTCATTCTATAATAGTCAATAGTTTTCGGCCAATTTTTAGCAACTTCAAAAATTCGTTAAAAATCCTATTTTGATTGAAACCAGCTCAAACTTGAAACATAGCATAAGTACATGTATACGTATCAGAAAAAATTATAAAAATGGAGATTTCTCTCCTTTTCATTTTTGGCGAAATTTGACCAAAGACCCTGTACTATAGTACAGGGACTTTGACCCAATTTTGAAACAACTTTAAAAATTTGTAAAAAATTCAATTTTGGCCGGAATCAGCTCAAACTTGCTACACAACATAAGAACATGTATATGTATAAAAAAATACTACAAAATGAAGAATTCTCTCCTAGTCATTTTTGATGAAATTTGGCCAAAGACCCTGTATATAGTACAGGGACTTTGACCCAATTTTGGAGCAACTTTAACGATCTGTAAAAAATTCAATTTTAATAGGAATTGGCTCAAACTTGAAACATAACATAAGAACATGCATATGTATCAGAAATAATTATAAAAATGGAAATTTCTCTCCTTTTCATTTTTGACAAAATACCCTGTTATAGCCTATGGTTTTTGGCCAAATTCCTTAGCAACTTCAAGATTGAAATCAATCTACATGAAATGCATTGCATGTTAACTGCTCTAGGATTGCATTCTTGATCTTAATTTGGCACCAACCTCCACATAGTTCCTCTACTAAATAAGAGTCCCCTGCTAATAGATGTACATCATTATTATACAGTCTTTGTTCTATATTCATAGTACATGTGTGTGTGTGCGTGTGTAACCCAGCTGGTCTCTATTGCCCTAATGTTATTTTAATGAATCCTTACACGTAGTCTCTTTCGAATTTCAAGTGTATCGAGTAACAGTCCCACCACTCCTTGTTGACGCACTCCTCTCTGGCTTCAAGACCCTTTTCAAATAATTCAATTTTTGAGTCGCCACGTGTAGTGATACCAGCTGATGCTGGTCTCTTGAATCAAAGGAGTGTAGTAGGCTTGAAACCACAGGCTCATTTGATAGTACCCCAATTAGTCATTTGGGGCCACTTTTAAAACTGTTAGAGGAGTAGATCTTGTCTATACAGCTGGCTGGGCTTATTGATTGCTAGTAGTTTTACAAACTCATCAGAGCTCCCAAGAGGGAGTCTCACTGACCAGCTGGTCTGGGAGGCTCTGTATACATAGCCTCACTCTTTGTGGCTTAACCAGATGATCCCTGGTTTGAGGGAGTGTTTATACAGTGTCTCCTTGTATATACATATACTGTATTAATTTCTACAGCATCAATTTAATTGTTGACATCTACACGTGTATACATGTATACATGTATAATAATAATAAGTAATGGCTTCCCTTTTGCTATATTACACGTACATATATGTCTCTTTCTCTCTTTCCCTTTTTATTGCGTAACGTAGTCCAAAACCATTACATCTATCTAATGTTTGTTATAAAAGTAGCAATTAAGGTAACCTCTAATGAAGCTTTATCACTTGATAATTATTTTTATCAGGTCTGCATCAATTTAGAGGTGACTAAAGATTGAAATTCAGTTTTATTATGATAGTCTTAATTCTTATTATGATAGTCTTAATTCTTATTATGTCTGCTTTCATTTTGAGGTCTTTCAGAAGCTCCTTCAGTTGGCACCATGCAGTCATGATTCTAAGAATCACTGCCACACTATTATTTATTATTATTATTTTTTAGCTTTTTTCTCTTTTCCCTCAATCCCTTTCTCTTTCATTTAGTCATGTTCGTACAAAAATTCATTTTCTCTCTCTCTCTCTCTCCCTCTCTCTCTCTCTCTCTCTCTCCCTCTCTCTCTCTCTCTCTCCGTCTCTTTCTAGAGAGGATGATATTCTAATTGCTGTTACCTCAAGCACAGGTTTGTGTTGCGTCTACCTCTTAGGTACATTTCATTTCATGTTTAGAGTCAACAAGAGCCACACCCTCCTCTCCGATTATACTAAGCGACCTCCCTGAGGACCAGCTACCCGAACTCGGCCCTCAAACTGATCAAAGTCATTTCCTCCTTAAAAAGTGCTCAAGGCTCCTTTCCCCTGGTAATCTTCTTTGGGTATTTTAATCACTTTTTGTCCGTTTCTAGATGCTCCTTCACGTCATGACTGGGTGAGGTTGAATGTAGGCGGGAAAGTATTTGCCACTAGCAGGTGGGCGTGTCATTTAATAACTATTAATAACTATTAATGACTTGATAACTGCAGGGCAACCATCACTTCTGATCCATCCTCAATGTTGGCTAGAATGTTTGAGTCAGGTAGTAAAATAAATAAATAAATCATAATAATAATTATTATTATTATATTGAATTATTTAAGTATTAAAATGATAACTACAGTAGGTTTATTAGCAGATTTTACTGTGAAATTCATTTCTACTACACGTGAATGCTTTAAATCATTTTGAAAATACATATTCATGCCATAATTAAATCACGTATAGACATAATTTCATAATAATTATATACTGTAGTCATTTCGATTATTTCCATTCATTATATATACAGTTTGATACATTATACTCTGTCCTTAGATTGGTTCAGTGCTACGGATGACTCCGGGGCATACCTCATTGACAGGAGTCCTGAATATTTTGAGCCACTTCTCAACTTCATGAGACATGGGAAGCTCATTATTAACGAAGGAGTGAACCCACAGGGTACGTGCTAAAGCTGTGGGTGTGGGTCCCTGTGGTAATGACTCCATGGTTGTGTTTGTGTATAGGAGTGCTAGAGGAAGCCAAGTTCTTCAATGTTACTAAAGCTATCCAACCACTGGAAACACTTGTTAAGGTAATAATAACTGTCTGGTAGTCCAATTAGGTCTGAGACTCTATTTCAAAATTTGATTATTCACATCCTCCTCTCCTTTCCTCCTCTACCTCCCCCCCTCTTTCTTCCTTTCTCCCCCCCCCTCTCTCTCCCTCTTCTCATAAAGAATGAAGAGTTCTCATTAGCTGGTCATTTAACAAGAAAGGAGTTCCTTCAGATGATCATTGGCTCCTCCTCTTCTTCCGTCCTTAGATGTCAAGTAACCATATTGCTCTAGTTTTCTATCCCTCTCTCTCTCTCCCTCCCTCTCTCTCTCTCTCCCTCTCCCTCCCCCTCTCTCTCCCTCTCTCTCTCTCTCCCTCTCTCTCTCTCTCTCTCTCTCAGGGTATTAATTTGGAAGGTGTGGACCTCTCTAACCTCGATTTAAGGAACATTAACTTCAAGTGTGCTAATTTAAGATATTGTGATTTCTCTCACAGTGATCTCACCAACTGTGTCCTTGAGAGAGCCGATCTCTCATACGCTACCCTCAATGTATGCTCATTAACTACATCTACAATGTACATGTATTTGTCATTCATTCATTTATGTACATGTGTGTATTTCTTAATTTTAGAATGCTGTTCTTCAGTGTGTTCACATGCCCAGAGTAGTCATGGAAGGAGCTTGTTTAAAGAAGTGCATAATGGATGCCAGCCTAGGAGTATCGACTAACCTTGAAGGTAGAGAAGGAATGAGAGAAATAGTGACTCAAACACAGTATAATGTTATAGTCTTGATTGTCAATATACATGTGCATTAGTGCTTTAGCAGTACATTTAAGAGGCTACACTGTACATGTATTAAGGACAGGTAGTGTGGGCCCAATGGTGTCCTTAATAAAGAGGCTACACTGTACATGTATTAAGGACAGGTAGTGTGGGCCCAATGGTGTCCTTAATAAAGAGGCTACACTGTACATGTACATGTGTGGTGTGTGTGATAAGTGATGATCCATTTACTGTATACTATTGGGAGAGTTGCTAGTAGCAACACTAGCTTTCTGTTTGTCAACTCACTCTCTCTCTGTGGTAAGTTATCTTTCTCTTTGCATCTCCCAAGGGGCTAACTTGAAGGCAGCAACTTTTGATAACAGTCAGATGAGTTGCGTCAATCTCCGTCTTGCGAGTCTCAAGGGGGCGTGTCTCAGGTCCTGTAACCTCCGCTACGCAATAATGGCAGGAACTGATATGGAGGTTAGTGGGTGTGGCTACACGGGTATTAGTTGTACCTGCATGTATTGAATGAACTAATGTAGTGCTAATCATATACAGTATGTATTGGGTATGAGAGAGAGAGAGAGAGAAGATTTCTAATTAAGTTCTTCTCACATGTGCCCACGTTTGGATCCAGAGCCTTCTGAGATAGACCCTTTCCTTGATTGTGTTCTCACAACACAAGCCTGCCTGCTTTGAGCTGCATAATATTATAATATGAATATTGAACAGCCTACTTATAATGGATCCAACTGTGGTATTGATATGTGACAAGAGATTTGGATTTTATTTCAGCTCTTGATACAAATAGACATGCATATGTATGAATAGGGCAAAAGAGAGGAGAGAGAGAGAGAGAGAGAGAGAGAGAGAGAGAGAGAGAGAGAGAGAGAGAGAGAGAGAAGAGTGTGTGTGTGTGTGTGATAGTCAGTTGTTTACTCCTGCTGCTGTTATTGAACTCTGTGGTCTTGTGTGGGTAGCGTGTGTAGACCTGCATCCAATACATGAAGACTCTTTACAATTCGTTTAGCTTTCCCTTGAGGTGTAATGGTTACCATAGTCTTCAAATCCCCAACCAACATTAATAGTGACATCATGGCCATTACTAGTGGATCCGCATAGACTGGCAGTACTATGAAGCAGACATTCCTTCTTTGTAAATGTGTACTTTATATTGCCTTTAGATGTGGGAGAGGGAAATTGAATTCCCAGTTCCGCTTAATAATTCCGTCTCTCTCTCTCTCTCTTTCTCCTCTGTTCTTGTTTTCCTCTTCTGTAGAATTGTGATTTAAGCACTAGTGATTTGCAGCATGCCAATTTAAGAGGCTCAAATTTTGAAAGCACCAACCTTAAAGATGTAGTTATATAGAATCTGCCTTTCTTGATCAATTGAATGGTATGGAGAGTGAAGGTGTGTGTGTGTGTGTGTGTGTGTGTGTGTGTGTGTGTGTGTGTGTGTGTGTGTGTGTGTGTGTGTGTGTGTGTGTGTGTGTGTGTGTGTGTGTGTGTGTGTGTGTGTGTGTGTGTGAAGAGTCTTCTTGTTAGTATACATGTACATCAGTGAATATTTGTACAAGTTTATGTCATTCAATCGAATCTTCCTCTTTTATATCTTTGTGTCATTTTTCTTTTCTCTTCCCCCCCTCTCTCTCTCCTCTCAGAACTGTGATTTGCGTGGCTGTGATTTGCAGCACGCTAATCTCAGAGGTGCTAACTTAGCTGGTGTTAATTTTGCCGATATCACTGCCCCACTTCACATGTCTCAAACAGTAAATGTTAATGTCTCCCAGTTGATATCTCCCACTGAGAATCTTCAGCAATCACTAGATAACCCTTTACCAGATGGAAGCAATGATAACAATGACTGATTATAATGAACGTCTGTGTGTCATATCTTCCCTCTGGTTATTTGTTTGTATCCTTCACTGTGTGATAATAATTTTTTGATTCTCTATATTAATTTAATACTATAATTATTTATTCTTTGTGTAAATGGGGAGATGGAACAAATATGGGAGAGAGAGAGAGAGAGAGGGATAGACAAAGAGAGATTTGGATGAGCGTAGTAAACACGCTAAACCTCTCATCCGCTGAACTCTTAAACCAGTTCATTGGGGAATTGTCATTCAAACTGACACTATGTCTCTCCCCCTCCTTCCCTCTCCCTCTCTCTCTCGCATAGTACATCCACAGTCTCTAGAGAGGGGACAATATCATACACTTATGAGCCACAACAAATGTTCACAATATGTTCTAGTAGTACTATAAATCGGGTCACTTCTTTACAGCTGCTGGCCAGCCTGTTGTGGTAGAATAATTGGGTCCAGGATTAAGGTTTCTCCTTTGGATGGATCAGTACTGGTGTACCTGCGTATAATTAATACTCTCCCTGGTCCCTAGTATTGGCTGTATGGCTACTATTGGTGTCTATAATTGACCCAATTCAAATATTAAAGTGTAATATCAATCGTTTGTATGGTTTGGCGTATTTGTACTGTTTTGATATCAACGGGACAAAAATGCTTTGGGTATCACTCATCCATGAAATGAATACAATATATATGTACAGGTATATGTACATGTATGTATCTATGTATAATAATAATGTACACTCCACGCTATTCATCCTTGATACTGCACATATCCAAGTATAGTTGTTCATGTATTTTATAGTTTGGTTTTGTTCTCATTGTAAACCTTCAATGAATAGATTAAGTGGAATAGCTTTGTATATAAATGATGACCCAATGGAACAATGGTAAACAGAATGAGTCTTTGTGTACATTATGATACCCCATCCTGTTCTCTCTGTGTGTGTGTGTATGTTTGGACTACAATTAGTGGAGAATATCTTGTGCTATGAAGTGTGTGTTTATATAGAAAATGAAATTAATTCTTTTAGTATTGATCATCATCATTGATACATTAGTTGAATAGTATGTTGGTTCTTTTCTGAGCATTTATTGGCTAGTCCAACGGCTAATGAGTCGTGACCACTTCTTTTCTTACAATTATAGTGTCCAATCATCATAACCCACTTCAATGCACTAGCCTAGTCCCAGGAGTGCCTGGAATGTAGTAATTATCTTTAGTACAGCATAGTATAATGCCAGACTCATCTTTAAGTAACAAGAATCTAAAATATAGGAATTGACTCAAACTTCTACATTGCATTAGAGCATGAATTATACCAGAAATCTCATATTGTCCTTATCACTTTTTTAAAAGCCATTTTTAAGGACCATTGACTATTGCGATAGTTCATGTCAAAAATCTACAGCTCCAAAAGTTTGTTATCGAAATGGGCTTGAGCTTTGAAATAACATAAAGACATTGATAAGCATCAAAACATGTTAGAGATGCTTACTGTTGTTTGTTATTATTTGTTATTATAATTACTTTAATCAACTTTATTGTTTACCCTAATAACAATAATCAAAATGAATCATAATTTTTACAACAAGACTGCGATTGTAATTTTCACTAAAGCCCAACTGCCACACACTAGGCTGCACATTATCTCGTGAATCTAGTTGACAACTTGACGTAAGATTTAGTACACTCATTGCAAACATTATTTATTTATTGGAGAGCAATCACCAACAGTTATGCTTTGTAGATGAATGCAGAATTTATTAATTTTGTTATTGTAAGACCAAAATTTGGTGCTGTACATTGTCTGATATCGTACTTAATAATGTGTGAGATATTTCATTACATTAAGCTCTTAGTGTGAACCTTTATGCCATGCACTGTAGTGCTATTGTGATTGGTGTACTTATGAATGTGTGTGTGCCTCGGATGTACTGTTAAGAGTTGGTTTTGGTTTTGACAATGGGTTCTTTTTCAAAGTTGAAGTGACATAGTATTAGTAGACAGTCATAATACATAATACACGTAATGATAATAATAATAGTAATAATGGTAATAATAATAATAGTACGGAAGGAGAAGGAGGAGAGAGAGAGACTGAGTTTTAAACTGAAGATTATAAAGCTTTATCTTTCTGTATCTGAGATGAGTTGCATGTGTGACATAAATAAAGTATGAGGAGGATTTAAAACAGTTCTGGACTATAAATAATAACAATAATAATAATAATAACAGCAGATACCAATAATAAGTAGAAATGGTTTTATTTAGCTTAATTGTAAGATAATGAAGTGAAATGTAATAATAATAATAATAATAATAATAATAATAAGAGTGACTGTCAAGTGTTGAGCATTGGATCCTAACGAAGCTCAGTTGTAGGACTACCATCATGCTTTCTTTTACGAGAGGAAGGAGGGGGAGGGGTTTGAGGTAGACTGGTCGAGTGGAGCGTGCTGCTACCACTGGTAGCTCCAGAATTAACAGAGAGAGGATCCTGTACTTCAGAGCCGCCACCACCTCCTGTCAGATCTAGAGACAAAAAAGTAAAATTAATACTAATAAAAAATAATAATAATGGTGTCTATTGTACTTTTCTTGTATCACACATACATGCATACATTGCATATGTATACAGAATCTCTATGTGTACCTGGTAGGTTGATGGGTGCAATGAGAGCTGATGGAGTGATTGGAGGGAATGTAAAGGTTGATCCCAAATTAGGTGAAGATATACCTGATGGAGAGAGAGGAAGAGAATGAAATTGCACACACATACATGTATATATGATCAGTATGTTATAGAAAGTACTATACATGTACAATTAGATGCCTCTATCAATGGAAGTATCCATGTACAATAGATACACAACATAATGTTATATTGGTAGTGGGTTTCTATGCCCATAGATTTACCGTTAGGCATCTCGTTGGACATTGAAAGGGAGAGAGGATTAGGTCGAGCCGTTTTGGCCATCCTTCCCTTGGTGGGAGAGAGGAGAGGAGAATTAAAAGCAAAAAACTGATTGTTCAACCCTCCTCCACCACTCATACTAGTGGGTGTGGTTGGTATCGGAGAAACTATAAAAACGGGAAAAAATAAAACGACGAAAATTGTTAAAAAACTTACAAGTATGCGTCATTAAGAAACCTGGAGATGGAGGGACTCCACCCGGAAACAACCTTGACATGTACGCCAGCGAATTTGAGCCGGCCATTTGCCCAATGTGGGCGGAGTCGGTGACACTGGTACTATTATTATTGTTAGTGTTGACTTGACCTGCTCCGTGAGTAAGTGGTAGCGAGTTACTGCCATACGGAGGAGCCGTCTCGTAAGGAAGGTTAAAAGGCATTACCATACCATTCGCTAGCGTTGATTTATGGAGTCCTTGTTGACTCGGCGAAGACATCTGAGACTCTGATTTGACTTCGGTCGACATTGAACCACCTGGGTCACCATGTTGGGTGATTTCGGGAAATGGGAAGGCAGTCTGAGGCATGTAACTGTGTCGAGGATAGACGTCTCCGTTAGTGTTCGGCATCCCGCCCCCGTATCCAAACCCACCACCTAGTCCTTCACTCATTGGGAGCATTCCACCATTGGAGCCTTGTCTGGGGGTCAGGGGCTGTGGTGTGAAGAGGAACACTCCGTTGCTCCCAATGAGGGCCGGGGAGGGAGGGTACACGAACGGGGCCTGACCAAAAGGGACGGTGGATGATTGTGCTCCTCTTGAGCTTAGGAAGCAACTCTCCAGGAGCTCTGCCGCCCTCTGTAGGACGAGATCCTGTTAGGAAAGAGAAGAGAGAATGCGATGATGCATGTACAAGTATGTATGTATGTACTTTTGGTAGTTGGTCCGGGTCGTCTTGTTGGCGTATCACTCTCTCGATTCTACAGAAACTGTTCTCAAATATTTGATCATCAGGAGCTGAAAGAAAATAGAAAAAGTAAATACAATTATTCATTATATATCATCATTATTATTAAATGTATCATTATTGCTATTAGTATTGTATTCTTTCTTTATCATATTACCTGTGTATAAGAATTTCCCAGGATTGCTGATACAAAACTGAGCCCCAGAGGCACGGAATATTAACGTAACATCAACTTCTCCAGTCATAGTGGCTGGGGGAGTCCTCACAGCAATAGCATTGGGACTTAGAACCTATTAGGGAGAGAGAGAGGGAGAGAGAGAGATGGAGGGAGAGAGAGAGGGAGGGAGAGAGAGAGATGGAGGGAGAGAGAGAGGGAGGGAGAGAGGGAGAGGGAGAGGGAGAGAGGGAGGGAGAGAGAGAGAGAGAGGGTTACATCATTACATTAAATTGTACTTGTATTGATGCCCACAATTAATTGCTGCCATGGCTACCACTGCCCACCACAGTGGTTACCATTATTAGTTCATTAATATGTGGCTTGTCTCATCTGTCACTGTCTTGTGCCACAAGAACCCATGTCAATGCTTAGCAACTAATGCCATGCACAGTAGCACAGTAGGGCAGACATTATGTGTACTCTCTTATTGACTGCTTCTCTCTCTCTCTTGTTTTTCTTACCTCACTCTGAACAGGGACTGTGCCAAATACGATGTCCAATCCTTCAAAGAAGTTAACTCCAATGACAGTTATCCTTGAGCCTCCAGTTGTCCACCCTTCATTTGGGTATATGCTTACTATACAAGGCTTCCCTAAAGACAGAGGGAGAGAAAGAGAAAGTGAATAGTTATGTATAATTGGATTAATTTCTCTCTCTCTCTCTCTCTCTCTCTCTCTCCCCCTCTTACCATCTCCAACAACATTGTCTCTATAAATAGGTCTCCTCCCGTGTTTTGAGTTATTGTGAACAAACATTGAGTCAGAGCAAGCAATGGGCTGGCCAGAGACTTTATCAATTTCATACAGAGCAACCTTTAAAAGAGAAGAAGATCATTATATCTCAAGCAAGGTCCTTAATGATTTGTGTCTTACTTGAAATCGTCTTCTTGAGTCTTTCGGGTTGCCGGCATTTTTCAAGCAGTTCTGGTTACATTTTGCAAAGATCTTTAACCGAAAACTAAAAGGCAAGAACATACATATAATTAATATGTGCATGGACTAGATCATAATGTACAAGTAAAGGTCACTCAGTGTCTTTCCCTCCCCTCCTCTCCCTCCCTCTCTCTCCCACCCACTTATATTGTATTTACACAGACACAGTGAGATACACACCCACAAATACTCCTCATATTACATACAAAATAAGACACTGACAGCCATTAAATAGAGGTATCGAATAACCCAACACCAATATACATAGTAGACCATCCCACTGTACATTGTACCAGTAAAGGGGTGTATTGCCCTATGGCTGTATTACATACTGAACACAATTTTTTTTAAGTGTGAGGAAGGGAGGGACTGGAGATAGAGGAAGAGTCTCTTCTCATGTGGTTTATAAAATTACAGGCGCATGTTTCCTCTTGGAGCAAAAATTATTGCATTAGCAGGAAACTCTAGCTCTCTGCTCAACTGTGATAATTATCCACAGGAGCAGATGCTTAAACGCTTTGTGTCTTTCTTCTTCAAAGAAAGGTAGGCGAATACAATTACTACACACCGATTCTTAATACATTTTATTTTTTGAACTGTAACACAGGTACACAATTAAGCCATTATTCTAATTGTTATTATAAATATACTCACTTGTCGAGTATGATCGGATCCGATGGCGTGTCGTTCTTATTCCCACAGGATCTTCTCTCGAGGCAGCGACTGCATATCAGTTCATGAGTCAAGAGAACCCTACGAAAGTCTGGATTCTTGTTAGTACCTTCGTATGGGACCAGCTGAAAGAAAAAAAGAGAGCATTGATAAGTAATAATAATAATAATAATAATAATAATAATAATAATATATCAGAACTAATGAATCTACCCACCTGTTTTGTGTTTGAGTCAATCAAACGGACGCACAACTCTTCCTCTTTCTGGGTACCTAAGAATAATAAAGCAATTAAAAACCTATTGCTGATTGTCTTTTGGAAAAGTGGGGGCTGTCTATCAAAATAAAGACACTGTTATGTCTAGTCTGAATGAGGAAGGCATAAGCCCCAGTACTGCAAACCAAATAATAAAAGCCTCGTACACGCCCTTCATGGGCTCCACTAGGCTTCCCAGGTGCACTGTCACAACATAAACAGAGTCACCACTGCCATACTGCTCTTAATGAGGCTTTCAATATATAGTCTAGTGCTTCGTCAATAGGATACATGGGTTTCATATAGGCCAGACCGTGTCTGCATGGACACAGTACACATATAATGTAAATCTATGATGATGTGTGTTGCATCATGTGTGTAATGATATAGCTCTGTGGACTGACCATCACTGTAAACCACAAGGAGCTTGTATATCAATCCATTCCTGTACTCTTGCTCATCCTATAGTGCAAAGGTAAAGGGAAAGAAGAGTTGTCATAGCTACTTTTGTCACTGGATGGAGTGCATGCCATTCTCTGTCTGGCTCTCTCCCTATTTTACACTTTCTGTTTTACTTTAACAAGAAAAACAGCTAACCACAGACTGTCATGGATTATCATATGTTCCCTGCATGCATGCACCCATGCATGCAGATTTTTCCCCACTTACGGTTCCAACAGTATCATAAAAGTCCTTAAAGACAGCCTTTTGGACTTGAATGCGATGCTGCTGCCCATCAAAGAGAGAGATGATGAAATGAAAAAAGTTGCTCTTCCTCATGTTGTCTGGGGGCTGCTTCTCAAACTGAGCAGCTGCAATGTAATACGGTGTAGACCTGTGATGAGCGTGAGAGAAAGAGAGAGGGAAAGGGAAGTAATTGAGAGTCTAGTAGCTCATTGGGATGGCTTTCAGAGACCTGCAATGCTAATTATTGACCTCAGCCACCACCAAGCCTCTAGACAGGTAGTCTAATGTACAGACCTGCTATCTACTTTTTACTGAAACTGGTCTGATAATAAAAGTGCATACATTGAATGTATGTTGTATGGACTGATTATGCTATCTGTAGGGAGATCTTTTTAGCTGACCAACAATGAGCTCTAATCATTTTCACTGTTGCCAGTAAACACTATATTGCCAGCAGGGCAGTTATATACGTGATAAGCTTGCAATTCAGATTGATTGTTGCCTTGAATGCGTGAGTATAGTAACAATTTGACAGTCAACGTGTGAGATAGTATGATAGTTTTTATGTAAGCCAGGCTATCTAAATCCATGAATAGACTTAATCATTAATAGACACAACTTGACTGTGTTATATATTCCAGTGGTCGAGGAAAGAATGTCAACTACCCCAAGTATAGGCTTTACTGCTTGACAGGAAAGTCTAAGATAATTTATGAATATTGTTAATAGGTGTATAATCTTAGGCTATATCTGTATGCTTGCATACAGTAGTCAATGATTGATTAAAGTTATGAGAAGCTATCACAAAAACATGCACTATAAACATTCGACTGTTGTGAAATTCCTATAATAATTAGAAGTTTACATTTTCCTTTATTTTGTGATTTCACGGACTGTAAACCTAATTATGGAACGCATTCTGCCATTTTACATGGTTTCTTTTGCATATGTCTTTGCACTAGACCATAATCTAATTTGCTTAATTATAAATTGCACACAAACACATAGGCTGGCTTCTGGTCAGTGGGTAAGGTAAAGGCTGGCTATAATACCACTATCATAATTTGTTTTGTGGAAGGTTGTTTCTTGCTAAATGGCATATTATTATATAATACTTTACATGCAAGCACACACTAACACACACATACATCTTACCTTTGAGGTAGAGTATGGTTGATGAGTGGAGGAGGTATGTGCTCCCCTGATGGGACTGGAGGGCTAAGAGAAGACTCATGTGCCATTGTGCTGCTTCAATTTCTTTTTAGAATTATTCCAATGCAAGTCACACGTGTGAGAAAAACTGTGTCAAGGTGACAGGAATATATTGTTCTATAGAAAAGAAAGAGTGAATATGATAATGACTGAATGCTTGAACAAAAGGGTTTGTTGCGAAAATGATGCTGACATCTAAAAGGCAATGCAGTATTTACAATAACAGTCTATGCAGGTCTATAGTAGATGTGTTTTCGCAATTGATTGCCTTCACTATGACAACCTGCCTGTACCACTCTGCAACAGTTATTGCCAAGAACAGCACTCACTTGTAATTCCAGCTAAGTAACTCGAGTCTGCATGTTGCATGCGTGGCCTTACATGCATAATGCATGTAATGCTCCTTGCTATAAATACCCAGTGGTGGTACCAAAGCGAAAGCAATAACTTTACGTTTGGCGACTTTGACCAGCAATCCCCATGATAAGACAAAAAGTGAGCATCCGTATTCCCAAAACGCCAAACCCTCAACCGGTAGGTTTGTACTAGTACAGGCCTGTGATCGACTCTGGGTTTTTATAGTTTTCACTTGAATTTTGTCAACAAATAGCCTACCTTTCATTATTAGCCAGCTAGATCTGTCCACCAGCACATCTAGGGATGCACATGCACATGCTAGTCATTATTATGTAAAGGAGAGAACTCATATACAAACTTATGGGGACTCAAAAAACAACTTTTACACAGGTGACTGATTCTACAAGCTGCAGGCTCAGGAATGGCTGCTTAATTGCGCGTGCAAAGGCGACCCATTCCAACTTGTTTGGCCCGAGCCGGAGCTTGCTTGAACATACCTGCAGGTACACTAGGAGCCCCGTGAAGTGGGAGCTAGCTAGGCAGGTTCAAATCGCAGGTGATCTACATGATTGGGGTGCGATCTTACCTACTTAATCCTCTGATTGCTCAACGAAGCTCTGCGCCGGTTGCTCTCCAGTTCAAGTTGCTCCTGCTCTACAGTTTCTAGAGAGAACTGTTTGCAGACTCTACAGTACAGTGAGGAATAGAGGAGAGAGGGTCAATCCTAGGCCTTATACTCTCAGCCGCCTTAGCTGGGTGTCCACGCCCCTGCTAGCATAGGGCTTCAAATTATTGCAACCAACTAATTAATATTCATTAGATCTGAGTAAGCAGCTAAATCTAACAGCTAAATCTAGCAGCTATATGATTTGATGCATTTATAACTCTAAGCTTTGCATTTGTAGCTTGCATATGAAGCTTTACAGCTGTTTTTGCTCCAGCCTAGGCTGTTGTGTTTAAACTTTTCATTCTTAAATAATTAATACGTAAATTTTGCAGGGTTTTTATTGCAAGAAAGCGACAAAAGGCTTTCTCCTAAAAACTTGTTTGCTACTTTTGTCTACATCCACTGATCAGTTGTTAATTGTTAGAGTTTTTGCTGCAAACTGCAAAGTAAGCTACAAGTTCATTAAAGAGTTAAAATTATTTTCTTGTCAGCAGAAGGTGTGGCTTAATGTTTTCTCTGACTACCAGATCTGCAAGCCAAAGCCAAAGGATTAAGCAAATCCTGAGATATAAAACAATATTTGTGAGTACTTCCCTTCCTTATAATAACATCTCCATGGTTTTTAACAGATGGCAGAGCCGGGAGGAACTTTACAAGAAGAGTTCACGCCAGGTGCTGTATCTAATATCCTATTGAGCTATTGAATAATAGTTCAGTGTTCTCTGTCGTATCATATATCCTAACACGAGCCTCCCATCCTTTATATATGAAGAGACTGACGCCACTGTTGCATGGCAGAGTCTAAACAAACCTGATATCATCATTAACTGCCACCTGTCACAGAACTAAGCATGTGTCATTCTTTTAGGAGTTCCTTGTTCTTTTTACATAGTACATCTCTGTTTTACTGTTTAGCAAAAAAGTTTTTCGACCAAAAATGAAATGCAACCTCCAAGCTCATTTTTTGGTGGAGTTCTTTTGCTAGCATGTTGTAGTGGATTTGATTGTTGAAATTTTAGTGTTTGTAAAAATGTTTTACAGTAATATATACCTCTTATTATTATTGTTATTATTTTCAGTCAGCATCCCTGTTTCAAGTGGCGGGAATATTGCCGGGAAAGCATGGGGCAATCCAAAAGGCCAACCAGTCCTTGGACTCCATGGTAACAAATATTTTAAATTACTTTACCCTTTCCCTCTCTCTCTCTCTCTCTCTCTCTTGTAGGTTGGTTAAATAATGCAGCTACATTTGATAACATTGCTCCGTTGTTGGACAAAGGTATGATAATAATTATTATGATATAACGTAATGGCCAGCATTAATGATAATGCATGGTCATGGAAGAGCAAAATACTTATGATATAAGATGGTTTATCTTTTGCTGTTTTAAGTCCAGAATCTAATGACCTGTATCAACAGATATTAACAGCATAAAATTACAGTATATTGTGATGTAGTACCGTATAGCTCCAAATTTTCCTCAGTCGAAAATTTTGTCAAAATCTTAATTTTTTGTTAAAATTAATTTTCATTAATAAAAATTCTGTCATTTTTGATATACTACCCACGTGAAGTAAAAATTTTGTTGGTTACAAATTTCATCAAGCAAAAGTACCTGATAAATTTGACGAAAATTTGGAGCTATACGGTATCCCTAATAGCAGTATAATGTTTTTTCTATAGATATTTACTTTGTGTCTATTGATTTGCCTGGTCACGGGCACTCATACCACAGGTCCCAGTCTTGTAGACTTCATTTCGTTGATTACCTTGTTGATGTTCGTGATGTCATAAAAGGTCCACATCATTCATTATGTGATTGTTTTGTTGCTATTGTTTCTTAAATATATCTCCACTCTTAAAAATATACATCCATTATATATATATGTGTAGAATTTTTTTTGATTTAATTGTAGTGTACAGTTACCATTTTTTATGTTTTTTTGCCATAGGATTGGGTTGGGACAAGTTTTCTTTCTTCTGTCATTCCATGGGTAAACCATTATCATTTATTATTTATTTTTATTAATGAGATATTGTCTTTCAGGAGCTGGAGTTGCATCATATGTAGGTCTACACAACGATACCCCCCCTCTCTCTCTCTCTCTCTCTCTCTCTCTCTCTCTCTCTCTCTCTCTCTCTCTCTCTCTCTCTCTCTCTCTCTCTCTCTCTCTCCCTCTCTCTCTCTCTCCCTCTCTCTCTCTCTCCCTCTCTTTCTTTCCCCCTCCCTCTCTCTCTCTCTCTCTCTCTCTCTCTCCCCCTCTCTTTCTCTCCCCCTCCCTCTCTCTCTCTCTCTCTCTCCCTCTCTTTCTCTCCCCCTCCCTCTCTCTCTCTCTCTCTCTCTCTCTCTCTTCCATCTATTCCCTCTTTTTTATTATTCTTTAGTTTGCTGCAGCTCAACCTGAACTTGTACAGAAGATGGTACTCATAGNAAAACATTGGAATCATGTCCAGACCAAAAGTACTCAAGTGCCGCAAGAATAAAAATTATGTTT